AGATTAAAAAATAGGAGAGGCAAATTTGAGGCACTTGAGCTCAAATATTATCAATAGACTTCAATTTTGCAGTTTTGTTGGAAAAAATGTCTCAGTTATTATATTTTTGTAATATTTTGGTTTGGTGAGACTGATGGCTCAATTTGCTTTAAAAAGTTAACCATTCTTGTGTAACATTTTAAACAAATCGGTGTTTAAATGTGAGAAATCAAACATGTGCTGAAAAATATTTATTTAAACATCCCAGACAAATAGAAATCCCTCACATGAAATATAGATCAATTCGATAAGAGTTAAAGGTGAACTTAAGTTCAAGGAAGTTGCACCCAATGATTAGGTAAAGGTCCGATAAGTAAATTGAAGTCTGGGTTCGATGTATCTTTCTATAACAATAAAAATTGCTTGCTAATTTTATAAATCATAATAAAAGCTCATAAAAATATATTGAACTAACAGACTAATGGTGATTCTGCCACTACCTGTTTAATAAGGTGAGCAAACGGACATGAAATGAAATTCATATATTGAAAGTAGCTCTTATTGTTATATAAGATTGTAGAAGCCAGACATATACAGCCTTTTAAGGTCATTGATAAAGTTAGGCTCATATATTAATAAATTGATAATAAGCAATTGATTCAACAAATCCTAAGTGGGCAGTCTGTACTAAATACAACTTCCTCTTATCGCCCCTTCCCAAACCCTTGTTAATTAGGAGACTTAACCGAAGCTAGTTGCAGGAGGCTGGGAGGTGTCTCCTTTGAGGAGGTGTTAGACCACTGTCCAATCCCCCTCCCTTTCAAACTCGCAATTGCCTTCTAGGCAGGTTATACCCATATAAAACCCACAAAAAATATATCTATCTAAGGGATCATGCTCCTTATTGATGCTAAATTACATGCATAAGAAATGTTATGTTCATGTTATCATCATGATAAACCATGACATCTCATTTCCTCTCAGCCTTGAGATGAGAAACAGAAAGAGTATCAAAATGACATGTCATAGTAAATGCAGTGATCTCCCCAGGATTTTTTCTCAGGTGGGTACAAAATTCGCATTTTCACAATTCAGGCCAAAATTGGTCAAATTATGCCAATTTTTCATTATTTTCTCATTTTTAACTGGGTGCAAATGGATTTTCAGGTGTGTGCAAACCGGTTTTCAAAATCTCATGTGGGTGCTGCGCCCACTTGCTTTAATGGCGCTGGGGAAATCACTGATATGCATTCAATCTGTACACAATTCTTAGACAGGTGAATGGTTGTTTTCTCTAAGGTGAATGAGAACTCCACCAGACAGACCAGACCAGACAGAAATACATTTACATTTTATCAATGTTTATTGTCATAAACAATATCAATTTTAATTTATATATTGAATTTCCTTATCTTATTTTCACTAAAGAGAGCTCTTTACCAGGGGAGGGAACAACAATTCATATCATTGATAAGAGAAAAAGAAAAAATGACATATTTATTTAATAGATGTTAGGCTATGTTATAAAAATGAAAATGTGACATCTATGTTATTATCCATAAGTGACAGGAGTTGTACAACATAGAATCCCAAAGAGGGGTGTCCCATCATTTTCTGTCACTATGACATGAAGCTCATTAAATTGTCTACATTTTCATATTACAATGTACTTTAATATCATGTACAGTGTACGTGAAAAGCTTCACATGTTGAATGATACTGAAGACCATCACATAAATAAAGGTACAGCAGTTCAGAATGACCTGTAAAGTCAGGATATTAGTCTGTCTGTGGTTTTAGGGGTTTGTTGTTTATTTATGTACTAGAATGGGTTCCAGGGGAGGACCTAGAAATTGATAAGGCCAAAAAAGATTTGTAAAAATTTGGACTTGTTTTTCAAAATTTGATGTTCATTTTCCCAAAATACCTTGTGTTATCACATCTAAGTATTGTTTTTGGCTCACACATTGAGCCTATTTGATTGACTAGGCATCCATCCTTGCATTGGTTCACCCATCTGCCCATATCCATGGTAAAAAATCATGTCAAAAATATGCTAGATATATATAATGCTTCTACATTACTGTAGGCATAAAAGATTTTCTCACTGCTTTTGACATTTATTCATTGAATGGACTAAAAGTTGTGCTAAGCTATTAGCAGTAAAACCTGTATATCTGAATGCCTTTAATTCGAGCACCTCTCAATGTGAACACTTTTTTTGGTTCCATATTTGTTAACTCCCATAGTCTCACATGTTATCTCACAAGTAAATATTTTCACTTAACAAGACCTTCAACGAGATACACAGTAATCTCAGTGGCTGTATCAGTAGTTGATTATATAATGAGTTACAGACTTGTGTTTGGCCCACAATAATTTATTTAACACACGCTCATTTCTCAAAGTAGTTGTTTACTTTGAATTTGTTTACAACAAATTAATAGTAGGCCTTTTGGGATAATATCAAAATCAATAACTAGTTCTAAAGCTGTAAGGAGCAGTATCAATAAGGAATAACATTATTTGAGCTCTTCAAATCGGGTTGATAAGTTCTTTTATTCCATAATACTACTGTTTTCCCAGGGAAATATGAAGGAATAAAAATCGTATTGAATCGTATTACATGAAAAAATCGTATTGTCCCCGGGAAGAAAATCGTATTGGAGCGTATTACATGAAAAAATCGTATTGTCCCCGGGAAAAAAATCGTATTGGAAAATATTAACCTATTTTTGGTTTTCCTGTTATTTTTAACCTAAGCTAATTGATAAAAGCTTTTTCAAAATGTGACATTTTAGAGGAATGTATTATGGAATAAATAGGTTATTTCTGGTCGGGATTGAATATGGGTTTCATTCCTCGGAAAATATGATATTGACCTTGGGAAATATGATATTGACACTCGGTCGCTGCGCTCCCTCAGTCAATATCATATCACCCTTCGGTCAATATCATATTGTCCCTCGGAATAAAACCCATATTCAATCCCTCCCAGTAAATAACCTATATGTAGCTTGCATGCTTACCCGTATACTTGTAGCTTTTCTTGTATGAGGCCTGGGGGGGTCTGAAATGAGAGTATAGCCTAAATAAATTGTTTACCATTAAAATGAAGTAAGTCTTAGTACTAGACAGTCTGGTTATGTTTGAATGCTTATCAAAAAGTAGAGTCTGGGGGGTCATTAATAGAAACTTTTGTAAAGTTAAGGATTCTTAGGTCAGTTGTTCTTCTATGACATCATTGTATCCATAATCCCAACGGTTTATTCTGAAGTATAAGTATACGTATTAAAGACCTGCATAAAATGGTTGGTTAAATAATGTAGAGTTGAAATGGTCCCCCTATTTGGGTCTCAGAAGCTGATAAGTACAAGTAGCATAAAGTTCTGATCATTTTAACACTAGGTATACATGGACTGTACATGCTCACGAGGAAAGGTCATGCTCATTCTGTTAGGCATTCTTTAACAATCTTTTTGTCAGTTGCATCTTGTTAGTTTTGCAAGTTTGTGCTGGTAACATATAATTGTAGTAATAGTGAGAAGGCTCAGCTTAGGATTAAATTTAAGAATGGCTCGTTTACATATATCACTTGGTAAGTCGGAAATGTTATTTATTGAGGATGGCAGAACTTTCTGACTCTACATATATTACAAATATTACATTATCTGTTTTCAATAGGTTTTTAGGGTTTGTTTGAGAATGTCTTGTAGTTTTAATTGCCAGCTAATGAAAACACATTCTTGATCAGATATGTTGCCAACTTATACTTTTTCTGTTACATGTAACTTCAATACTAATTTTTTTTAGATATATACATGTGTATATCAGATACGTTTTAGAGAATCTCAAGCTGAGTTCTGTAATGTAAAATTGAATCCCTATTAGAAAATTATCAAATGATGATTTGTTATATTTTTCTGATGATTGAAACCTGCATATCTTTTTTTATTAATTCATTTGTTAGTAATCTTTGACATATAGTAAAAATGTTCTTATCTGAATGCCACACCAGCCAAAGGTGTTCAGATTGGTAGGTAGTCACATTTTTATTTTTTTCATTTTTTTATATTGGTGTCTATTGCAGATTCAAAAATCAGACTGAATAGTGTTCAAATTTAAAAGCACTCGGGGGAAATTTTGGATATATATGTGTACAGGTTTTAAAGTGGATTCTTATTTACTTAGACTTTGACAACTCAAATCTGCAAATCATAATAAAACAATTATGAAATGATATTGAACTTTGTGTAGCATCTTCTTTTATACTTTAAACTTTATACTTCATCAATATTATTGATATGCATTGTTTTGAAAGGGTGAGCTCAAGTTCAGAAAGGCATTTTATTTAATCATTTACAACTTTAATTCATATGTAGGTCACAATGTTTGATGTTCTTAATTAAAAATGTCACAGTGCAAAACAACCAGCTCCTTGTGAAAATAATTTCTCTTTCATAGCATTGTGTATAATACATATATAACCTAGCAAAGCAAGTGCATGGAGTCAGTAGAAAAAACTACCTGGGTTAACAGGCCTATAGCACTCATTGACATGTACTGCCTTTTACCATGGCAACCTTGTATGCTGTTTTTCCTAAAATTTCCAATTACTCAAGGAGGATTGGAAGCCAGGGTTCCAACTCGATATTCTTTAATCTCCACGCATGCGTCATTTGCTATTCGTGTCTGTATAATTTGTACGACTGCATGGAGAATGACTCGATACTCTCCAACAAAGCTATCGCTAGGTGATTGTTTTGCAGAATATCGGTGTTGCATTCTGGGAGCCAATCCTCCTTGCCAATTACTCATAGATATATGACATCATCAATGTAAAGTTGCCGAGCTAACAAAGGCCCTGGATACAATTTCTATCAGATTCTTACATGTACATAGCCCTCCTAATGTTAGCTTTTTAAATAGAAGTCAGTCCTTTTTCATATGGTACAGTATAGATGATTGCTGCAATACATTTGAAAGCCGTAACTAATATGTTCAATATTTCTGTGTTTCAGGTGTGATGAGGGTGCTGACATTCCTGGCTCTACTCCTGCAGAAAGCAAGAAGTTGGTACACCCATATCCGACAGTACTTCTCCCCAAGGACATACCTCTCACCCTACTTCAACCCTCCCCCCTCAGAGGAGACCCGGGAAAGAATTCAATCAATTTTCGATATACTGGAATGCGAGCCTGATTGCGATTTTGTAAAGATTAAACGATTATTGGATGATTGCCCTTCCCACGAGGCCTTGCATGAAGTTGTGACGGATAATGGGTACAATATATTCCAGGAAGCCGTCATAAGGAATAATGCGTTACTTGTTAAAGCCCTTATACGAAAAGGGTTTAGTGTTGATCAGGGACGATGCAGCAAACCGATACATTTAGCGTGTAAACTTGGACATTTAGACCTTGTAAAAATTCTCATTGAAAATGGTGCAAAAACGGACATCGAAACTGGAATGTGTTATCCAAACTCTCATTTGCCACATTATCAGCCGAGGTCTAAGTTTCAGTTCATGGACAAGGATATTTTCGATTGTGACCGAGATCACATGTTGCCGTTATTGTACGCTATTCAGGGCAATCATGTAGACATTGTTAGACTGCTACTCGAGAATCAAGAAACTTTGCAACCAGTGTGGTTAATTCAGAAGTATCCGCTACATTATGCCTGTCATAGCGGCTCATTTGATTGTATGAAATATCTACTTGAGCAGTGCCCTACGCATTTGAAACTCCCCGATTCCAGGGGGCTCTATCCGTTGCATTACTCAGTGCAGTGGACCAAACAACAGGTCCAGTATTTGATCGAATCAAATGCTAATGTCCATGTAATTAGTAATAATGGTGAAACTGCATTGCATAGTGTGTTCAACACATTGAAGAATCCTCTTGAGATTAACCGTATTACAAAACTTTTGCTTGGGACTGGGATGGAACAAGATGTGAATATCAAAGACAGGCAGGGGGATCTTGCGTTACATGCTTTAGTCACACATGTCAACCGCCGTGTGTCTTTCTTCCAACCTGCCAAAGAAACCCCCATTGTGCCCCTCTCGCAGAGAACAAGATTTGCTGAAATACAAGAGGATCCCCTGGGACAATCTGAATATCAAACTGAAGTGTTGAAAGCACTTGACACATTACTGAAGTATAACTGTGAGGCAAATGTGCAGAATAAGAATGGCTTCACACCCTTACATAAACTCCTCCTTGTATTTAATCACCTCATTAGCAACCCTAGGGAGGTCTACAGCAAAGGACGATCGTTTCACGACACTTTCTTAGTTGACTTCGATATTCTGTGTAAAGCAGTAGAGATCTTACTAACACATGGGTCAGATCCGAATGCAATGACTATGAATGGTAGACCAGCATTAACTATAATCCTCAAGGGTATTCTAAATACCGACCCGGCATTGTTGCCAAAATACAGTGCTGGGTTTCTCCGACTGATAGATACATTGTGTCGTCATGGCGCTGATTGTAATGCTATGTTAGCCAGCCCCAGTGGAATAGTGGCTCTCTTAGCTCGATTTGGACAACGCATTGTTGGACCTGATGGACTCAGATGGACTGGGAATCTCAAACAATTACATGCCTCATTCCTGAATGATCTCTTGCAATTATTTCTTCGACATAATCTAAATCCTAACTGTATCACCAATATGACTAAAAAACATTTAGAGGGAGGAAGTGGGAATGGCCTGATTGAATTTGTCAGGCTGACCCAATCAATAAGAACACCCAGTGACTTGGACATAATTTATGATTGGATTTTGACTCTGTTACAATGGGGGGCCAATCCTGATATCGAGCCATACCCCTCAGAACCAATCATCTGTCATTCACAGAGCTCCATCTTTCTCAAACCGAAGGGCACTCAAGCCGTCAATCATTACATGTATGATATTCAAGACTTTCGCTCATTCTTTGATGGCGGTCATGCCGAGCGCCTCCTGTATCTTTTCTACAATGTCATGGATCACGAGCCTCTGTTTCAATGTCTCGGGACTGCTAAATTCATGTCTAGGTTTGACCCTCATAGGGCCCCAAATGGCCAGTTTATGTCCATACTACAAGGTTTGTCTAAAGAACCCCGTAGCCTGAAGCAGATTGCAAGAGTCTCTATCTATAAAGCCATGGGGAGGAGGCTGGCAACAGGGGTGCCACAACTACATTACCCAAACCCACTGAAGAAATACTTGTTGGACGTTGAATGAATTTCATTGTTTGAATGGATAATAGAGTAATGAAATATCTCAGGTCTTTGATTAAAAAATAAATTTTGAAAAGACCTTAAAAGACGCAAACATATCATCCTACAAATTATAAGGGTACAATATTTTTTAATTGGACACTGTGTCCACTACACAGCCTTATTTGAATAAAATTCCGTAAAAATATAGAAATTGGAAACCTCTAGATTTTTATAAGCACATAAGTCTGTGTGCAATTTACATATTAAGTTAACTCAAGTGGAGTTGTTCCACTGTAGAGACATCTATGTTTATCTGATTGTAAAACATGCAAGTTTTCAATTCAAATTGATGTTTTATTTGTATCTAATATATGTTGTTTATTATTTTTGATGTACAGGGTGACTCCAAAGTAGCATGTTAAGTCAGTGATAAATGCAATATAAGCACACCATGCAATATAAGTACATGTACACCATTTGCATGCTGCCTTGATTCAAAGAAAATTTCATCACAATAAAAAAGTTACATACCAAAATAAGTGTGGCATTTAAAGGATGTGTCTGGATATATGCCCTTTTGGTCCCCCAGTCAAATGTATGTGAAATATGGTTTTTATTACTGTCCTAGTTATATTTGATAAGTATATTTACTTTTTCATGAGTTTTGATGCATAATTAACCCCCTGCTGAGAGTCAGAATAAGTATCTTAACAAATAAAAAAAGAGTCATTATCATAGAAAAAACACCAATGGCAACATGTATGACATACAAAGAAGAAATAACTTAAGATCCATTGAGAATTAAAAAGAAAATCATATTTTTGAAACATATTTAAGGGTTAAATTTTTTTTCAAATTTTTGAATTTCCCGCCAGTTTAATTTGAAGGGGGAAAAACAAGATGGCTGCCATTTGATGTAAGAAATATCAGAAAAAAAGTTGCTTCACTTTTAGTTTTCACATTGAGCACAGTTTTCCGGTTTAGGTTTTTTGACTGATTCTGACTCTTCATCACTAGGGTCATGTATAGAGATTATAAAATTGAAACCAAAATGTTGTGCTCAGCATGAATTTGACTGAAATATATGTAACTTCACCAACACAATTGAAGTCTCAAAACTGGATGCTCAGTACCTTTGAGTGACTATAATCCCTTGATTACCCAGATAAACACCAATTCACTTATCCAGAAATACCATTCAATGTCTATACAAAGAAAGTAAGCAATGTTTTGGAGGATATGTTTCAAACTTTTTGTATAAATAATTCCTTTAATATTTGCCATTGATTTTTTTTCAATTCTGACAAAGTGATATGCACTGTCTTTGATCCCAATATCCTTCATCAATTGTGATATAAATTGATATTTTTGTAATCTCATAAGAAGGATAAGATATTGAAGTTTAATAATATGTGTGATTGAGTTGGTTTTTCAGACATTACAATTTTCAACATTTTCTAAGTCGATACCCAGACTCATTCCCAGACTCATCCTTTCTGTCACCCAGTATAAGGAAATCTGTACAGTCTAGGCATTGATTTGTCATTTCTTGATATCAAAGGAAAATAATTATAATTCTATTGTTTCTATCTGAACTAACAGCAGAGATATCTCCATGGGAAAACATGCATGGTCTTAATATTGTCTGTAAAATTATGTTATAAATATGCATGAAATGCACTGACATCTATAAATGTTGTCATAAATGTATTATTTGATAAACAGAAATTAAATTTCCATTTATGAACTGAAATGAAGTTGTTCTGTATAGTGTATCACAGAGTCCTAGTCTGACAGTAAACCCTTCTTTAAAGGAACACTATTGAAACATTTCAGTGTTCATATTAGTTCTGCTAATTATGGGAGTACACATACCAGTGTATTTCTTCAATTGTCATTTGTGCTACACAATAAATACAGGTACAGTGGGGGGCATAAAGAATTACAAAACCTATGGAAATTACATGTTGTCGCATATGTAATAAATTCTTACCTCAGTGTATTCAGTGCTCTATTTTCTCCGTCATAGTAAGTCCAGATATAGTGGAATTTGTGTCCATAATGACAAATAAGAACTTAAAAATTTGATGTGGAATTCACATGTTAATGCCGACTCTTCAAATGTTGAGGTGATTTTGGAGCCAGATTACGCCGCAATGTGGGTTGGCTCCCAGAATGCAACATGACACGTGTCAGCTTTCAAAATGCCATTCCGCCGTTTTGAAATACGTCACGAATAAATAAGGTTACTTGACGTTGCATTCTGGGAGTCAATCCTCCTTGGATCACAAACATGCCGATTCATGAAAACATTAGTCCGATTTGGTAGGGATTTATCCATCATTTGCAGGTATGAGGCTTTGGATTCATTTATTGTGCTACTTTAAGTGGATGGGAATTATTTTTCTACCACTTGGGAGAGTTTGAGACATGAAACTTAGAATTTAGCTCATTGTGACAACTTTTGAGGGTTGAGATTTATTTTTGTCCCCCACTTTACATATGTGAAGTGTCAAAATATATGCTAACAGTCTTATATCTATAAAGCCCATAAGAAAATTGAAACCCACAAACGCAGCTTTCCCAATGGTACCAAAATATCCCATGTTTCTCTTCAATTTTTTAAAACCACTTTCCTAGCCCCTTTCAGAAATACATGTACAGTAATAAACCTCTGCCAAATATAGAGAACATTTGAAACTCACTAAAGCAAGTGGGCACAGCACCCATCTGAGATTTTTTAAAAAAGGCTTGCACCCACCTGAAAATCCTGAAACATGAGAAAAATGAAAAATGGGCATATTTGACCAATTATGGAGCCTATGGACTGATTTGTGAAAATAAGAATTTTGCACTCACTTGAGAAAAACCTTGACCCTTAAGTTTTATAGGGAAATAGTCTGAATGCTAATATGGTTTGTTGTGGTATTCCACAATAATATATTACTTTAGGCCTCGTAAAAGTCACATTGATATCATCCTTTTGTTCATATAAATGTGCCAGCTTGATTGTGCTATAATGATCTGTGACTACAGTGTTGTGATTGTGCTATAATGATCTGTGACTATAGTGTTTTGATTGTGCTATATCTTTCTGTGTAATTTGTAAGTGAATGTTTACCGGTATGATTGTTCTATACTTTCTATGACTGCAATGTGCAACAGTGTAATTGTGCTATACCTCTCTCTATGTGCCTGTTCAATATGAAATTTGGTTGAGCAATGTACAGTGTGATTGTTACTTCGCATATACATACAATATGTAAAAGTGTGGCTGTGCTGTACCTCTATGTTTTTGCAATGTAAGACAGTGTGACTGTGCTATACCTACATCTATAATATGTTTGAGGAATGTATAAAAATACAATGTAATTGTGCTTTACTTTTTTGGTCTGCTAATGGTGTGATTGTGCTTTTCTTCTGGACATGCAAGTTGTCCTAAACACAGTGTGCTATACTTCTCTTTGGCTGTGCAATGTGTGATAGAATGGTTGTGCTCTACATATAGCTGTGCGATCTTTGGCAGTATTTGACTCAGTGTACTCTGAATGAAATGTGAATCACAGTCTACTCGGGTCTAACAATTTTCTACGATGATGGAAAGCATATGCATGTGGAAACTTTGGAAAGTAAGGAATATTGTGCCACATAATAATAATTCGCTTGTTCGGATTTTTACCGTAACATAACAAACACGACATCCTATTAACGTAAGTGAGTCAGGTGTCATGAGACTTTGCAAAAGGAAAGCGGAAGATTTTCTGTTTTTTGGACGCTCTAACCACTTCCAAATGCTATAGAAATTGCAAGAACAATGCTCATGATAGTCATCTATAAGTAGGATACAATGGCGACGTCCCCTATGGAATTTCTGGAGGCAGGAGAGGCAGATCCGGTGAGCAATTATTTCAAGGTTTTTATTTCTGAAAAAGGGGAGTTGGAACTCCAATGAAAGTACATCCCGGGAAATGCATCCAGATCCAATCATTGTACTCTGTGTAGGTTGTTATGTGCGTTGATTAAATATTCTTTACTCAAAGTTTGTGTACTTATAAGTATACATGTATTTCATGATATACCCATAAGGTCGTTTCTTTATAAACTCAGGATATTGTAACCTACAGTTCAACGTCGTAAAACTCAATACAGTTCAACATTGGAGGACAGAGAGGCATTTAGTGTCCAACAATTACCTACATGGACAACATTGCCTCCCTGTACTCTATATGGAAAAATATGTTCATATTTTACATGCAACTGACTTCTATCTAGCAACTCTACGTATGACGAATTCTTGTTTTTAGTTCATGTTTCGATACAAATCGGCTCAATATTACAACTACTGTAATTTGTGGACATCACAGACTTTTTAATTCCCTTTATGCTACATCGATTCCTTTTATTAGCTGCTTGCTGCTAGAATGATACGAGACCCAACAGCTATGACTTCAATGCCCGTTGCTGTGACACAAGCTATCAACACACCAAAGCCACATCAATCAACTGCGGGAACATCTGGGGGACCAGTAAGTCCAAGCTGGAGACAGGGCTATGAACAGAGAAGAAGGGTGGAGAACTTTAGGGCTCAGCAGTATAATACTTTCCTGGACATTCGGGTAAGATAGTACATTCAGAGACATCTATATTTTTAAATGTCTCTTGCACATGACGTGTAGGCCCAATTTAAGCTTATGCAATACTTATATTGATTTTATCAAGTTTCTTCAAATTTAAGATTTGGAGAAAGTGTTCATATCGAGAAGTGTTCAGATTATAGAGGTATTCAAATATTCATGTTTAATTGTCCTTGATAATGTTATATGTTTCTTTATAATTTGCTATTTATTTCAGTCCTCAGATGTTGCAGATGTCCCACCTGTAGATAACCCAACCACTATTGCCCTGAATGTCTGTAAAAAGATGGTACTCAGGCCCTATCTCAGACTACTTAGAGGGGTGAGTGGTTGTGCAGTCATTCGAACCTCAAAATTATCATTAAAGGCCCCATGCAATGTTTGAAAATAATTAAATTTATCATTCAAGGAAAAATTAGATGCTGAAAGATCAAGTAAATTTTAAATCAAATATCACTTTTTATGAATTGAATGTTTCATGGTTTGGACATTCATATGATGATAATCATATCCACAAATAGTCTTCACATGATATTCGATCACCAGTGCATGTATAAACTGACAAGCACAAGAATAGATTTTATATATTGTTTCGAATTTAAAATAATGTTATATTTAATGTAATTATTTCAGATTGGCTGGTATCCATTATTCACTGACCCAGAGAAACCATGGCAACAATGTGTCAACATTGGGTGGGTGGTAATAGTAGTGGCCCTCATATTCCTGGGATATATCATACAATTTGCTGGCTGCTTTAGACGTGACAGGGCAATCGCATCAAATGTAAGAAAGCCTATATATTTCTAATACATCACATGTATACACATGCATTCTCAAAATTTTGTATGGAAAAATCCATCATTCCTTTTCTCTTGAATGCAGTAAAATGTGCCATTAAAATCAATGCCTTTGTGGGAATAGTATTGCTTATTTGAAAATAAATCTTAGTTTCTAAGCCATCATAGTTGAATTGATTCCTCACTTCATTGAATGTTTTGACACCTACGATCACACATCCACTAAACCAACTAACTTATCCAACTTACTCACATAGTACATGTACATTTTAACCCATTGATTTCTCAATAACATGATACAAATCTATCTAAAATGTATATTGGTAACCCTACTATGTGCATATTATTGTTTGTTTACAGTCATTTGCCATGGTGAACCTGTCAGGTCCGAACGCGACGTACAACGGCACAGTTTCTCCCATTCCACTTCCTGTGGAGATCAGTTGTACAAAGTACTTGATCTCCCAGTATATCATACCAGACCTCCTACACTCTATAGCTTACTTCTACTGTCTATATTACATGAGGATATCAGATACTGAGCAGCTGGTGACCCTTATGGAGAGGGTAAGATATAGATATTATCCTATTATTATGACTCGGCTGGCGGGGTGTTCATTTACTGTATGTCAGTCTTGACTGGATCCCCAGCAGACTTGGGATATCTTTTCAATCTTTAGTATGGCCATCTTTGTTCACACAGCTCCCATCGGTCGCATTGAAGACCGAGCGCGCGAAGATGTAGTATGGTAATGGACCTAAAATTTTGGATCTGGCACATGAGAAATTGGTATGGCTTACCAACATCAATTTATTCATTCTCAGGAATTTTCATTACTGTTGTTGTCCATTACTCCTCCAGAATGAGGTACAACTTAGAATTGAAAGCAACACAATCAACAGGTATCGTTATCAGGGGTGGGGGCAAGAAAGTAGCTTTGCAAATAGAATTAATAATCCTACATTGTACGTTTGAGATGTTACATTAGTGAAACTAGTTGACTATTTCAGGTGTTCCTCCAGTCCACAGAAACCCATACAGGATATCTCTCTCAGAAGAACCTAATACAGAGATTAAGGTTTGTACATTTTTCATCACCAGAAGTGGTGGCATATTGTTATCGTCTCCAACTTTTTGTGGCTGGTGTTTGGTGGATGGGGTTCAGCATTTGGTGTTCGGATTTTGTTTGTAACATGGGGTTCGGGGATCAGCATCTGTAACAAATGGGAGGTAGTGACATGTTGCATTTTGTTATATAATTTTACCTCAAGATGCTTTATATTCTGGCATTGTACAGTAAAACCTGTATACATAATTGAACACCTCTCAATTTGAACACTTTTTCTGCCCCACTTTTTTAATTTGGCATAAACTTCCATGTTAAAACAAACTCAAAATTGTGAACACCTGTCATTCTGATCACTTTTGACTAGTCCTAGTGGCATTCAGATTAGACATGTTTTACTGTATGTTTGTTTGTTTATTTGTTTGTTTGTTGTTTTTTGATGAGGCCTATGTTAGCCATAATAAAGTAGTCAGATCAACATGGGTGTCTGAAGAAGGAAAAACCTCTGTAGCAATAACAAAACATTCAAGTTTGACTTTGATTTATCGTTTGGTTTAACATTTTATTGTTTTGTATTTCAGGTTGATATTATGGACAGGATTTATGTGGGTTGTATTCTCTCTTGTGGTTGTAGTGCTGCAGATATTAGCTCAGTTTGACGAGATTGACTTTACTTGGCTATATCCAAGGTAAGCAGCAATCAGAACATAGGTATTAAGGGACACACTATGCACCTGTCTGAGCAAAATGTTAATTGGTTAACAGAATTCTCTAGATTACAATATAGATCAAAATGACTTGTCATTGTGTTCTATTCTAAAATTTTTACAAACTGATTAGTTAGTTCTTCGTATATCACGATGGTCAATCATCATCTATATAGATATGTATTCCATACCTGATGAGGTTTCAGGGACATATCAACCGGGAATATATTCCATATTCGGGCAAATATTTTTCGTATGTCCCGCTCCAACGGAGCTCCGGGACATGTAAATCGTATGTCCCGCTCAAAAAAATGTTAGAAATTAAAAAAAAAAAAATTCGGAAAAAAATGTTGAAAATAAAAATCTGAAAAAATAGTGGAAAAAAATTATGTAAAAAATTTTGAAAAAAAATTCTGAAAAGAAAGGACGGGTGTCGTTAAGAGCCCTTTTTAGCCCCAAAAGATATCTGATAATAATGCATATAATATTGAAGAAAAATCATTTGTGCTTTATAAAAATACAATTTCAGCGAATTTTGACCTTTGATGTTCACACAACAGTCATTTAAAGATCATATACCATTTTTGGTGTTTTTACAAAAAAATCTTTATTTATTGTTGTCTAAGTCAATAATATGTAAATATTAACCAATTTAAATATATTAAAATGTAATATATGAAATACTGAAGAAAAGATACAATTAAAATTATTTTCATGGAAAGCACATAGGGCAATATTGACAAAATGCAAATGCTATTTTGGTAGGTTCTGGGCTAGCAATGGGTACATTTCAACTGTGACTGTAATGGATTACTATTGACTTTTATCAACATCACAGGGCAATATTTAAGCAACTTAAATACAAGGAATATCAAAGATTTCCTCTCATTTCTAAAACAAGGAACAAAAGCATGAATTCAAGGAAAATAAACGATGGCCTGTGTCAATTATATAACATATGAGAAAGTTGTGGCACAGTAAAGGATATGTATAGGATATCATATGATTTTAAATGATTTTATCTTTATCTCCGAGTTGATATCAATATATTGCCAAGTTAGCATAGCGAATTAGCGCAGATATTGATATCAATGAGTTGGATTAACACAATCTCACGAAAATGCATAGGATGTTCTATTTTTCCCATAGTTCACCTCTAAAACTAAACAAAGCATATCAAAACATCATCCATTCATTTATTCATCCCCGTGATGTCATGAAATCACTATGTAACAAAACACATCATATTGGTGTTGTTTTCAAATCCCTGCCAAAATGTGATATCTGTGAAATATTTTCCGTATTCCACAGATATCACTTTTTCCACGCATTTGCAAAATATCATAAATATGTTTTTATGTTACCTAACAGAGCGGAACAGAGTTCAACTATGGGATAAAGAATAGAAAATAGGTACATAATTGAATTACCACTCCAAAAATATTAAATATGAGGGTTTAAAGAAAGAATATTGAATATGAGATTCAAAAAGACAAGTGGCCTCATGTCTCACGTTACCCAAACCCCAGATCCTTGATGTCATATATACTTGTATACTGTATATCAATGTTATTTACTGGGAGGATTGAATATGGAGTGTTTAGCAATGGTCAATACGATATTTCCAGATAGATATTTTTCCCTAGAAGCGGAACCCAAACTCAGTCATGACATAGAAGCTAACTTTTGCAATTAATAGAAACTTGTTTTTTATTATATTTTTGTGTTCTATATTTGAGATGAAATAATATGAGATTCATTTCTACAAGAGGATGGAACGAATGTGAACTTGTATATTGAACTATACTCCTTTTCTGATTAAAAAGAACAACATTTTATCCAAGCCAATTAAGAAAACCAAGGCCAATGAGTGTAATTTATGCCCAGTTAAACTAACACAATAACAACTTTTTGTCTGGACTCACTTATTATGTAAGAATGAATAGTATTACTGTTTACTGCATTAAATGTCAAGTATACTATCTGTATTTAATTTCAAATGCCTATCTCACTTATCGAAGGTATACAAGAAATGTTATTTTGAAACAAATTCAGCACAACCAAAACCATGTCCACATAATATGACAAATCCAAGATGGCTGCCATGATTTTAGATCCATGCACATGTGAAGAAGTTAGAAATACACATGGTCCACAAGTTCCATCCCCAATAAAATGGGAAGTTTAAGGTTTTCACACATACTAACTCTATTCCTATATACTTTATATTTGTGGTAAGGCTTGTGATCTAGGTAAACTTAGCATGTTCATGTACCTCCTATCTTCTGAAGCTAAAAACAGAAATAGTGACTTCAATTGAGAAAAATGAATCTTATGGGCTCCATATACATTTTGAGTGGCTGTCCGGCTTAAGTTAGATACTACTGATAATCTGAGATTGAAAATTATGTCAAGTTTAGTCCTCAGCCTCTCATAACCGATAACTTCGAGGTAATTGTGTTGTTACTGCAAAAACCTCTATTTCTTCATCACAAATCTACCATCTTTTGCATCTGTCAAAACCCCTCATTTCATGTTAATTTTCAGACTTTTGCTTGTGCCATCATTAAATATATATATTCAACTTGTTATTCAGAATATTTGAAGAACTTTTCATGAGGTTTTTTATTTTCCCACTTTTGAAAAAATGACTAAGTCCGAGAATGGCCTCTTAATGGCATGTCCCCTTTGGAAAAAAATGTGAAAAAAACTTAGGAATTTTTTTTTCATTTTTGAAAAAATTGAAAACAAATTTGGAAAAAAAATGATAACATATTTTGCAAGTAAACACACCAGAGCACATGGGATACATGCTTATTATTTCAAACCTCATCAGGTATGGAATACAACAGTTATGCACGGTCAGTTTGGATACAGGAAATATCCCTTGGGATATACAATATATCTTCCCTTGGTCCCTTCGGTCCCTCGGGAAGATATATTGTATATCCCTCGGGATATTCCCTGTATCCATAACCTCCCAGTGCATAACCCCTTTATACTGTATCACCATGGCTACCTATTTTTCACATGGGTACCTGCTATTGTTTTACATTTCAGAGACTTGACGGGTAAAATATTCCTCTACATATTCATGGTAATGGGACTCCTTGTGCTGGACATTGTTTATGTTGCCGTGGTTACCAACTATTCTGTTCAATGCGCTCTAATCATATTCTATATAAGAGGACTCAAGGTGAAGGTCATGGAGAAAATTATTGATCTGCAGCAGTCAATAAAGGTAAAAAGCATTTATGGAAATTGGAGGTGCAAGTAGCCCTATAATAAGGTGGGGATTTTTTCAAGCACCTTGGTATTTTCAGGAAAAAAGCTTAGATCAAAATCTGTTGATGGTTTTAATTGAAAGTTGTTACAGATTTTATTCTGATATTTTTATCACCATTCGGTAGTTTCACGTTTTACTGTTTGTTATTTATCACATTTCAGTGTATCCAAGAGACAGAACATCATTTAAAGAAACTCAATGACAGCAACGCAACAGCAGTTTCCATAGTAACCTTCAATTTCCTCACCATGGTAGTTCTAGGTATGAAATAGACTGCTATATCATAAAAAATCCAAAAGCAATATTTAAAATAAATTAATGAAAATGTAATTTGAAAATCCAGTTTATTAAATCATAATCAAATTCAACAAAGATTTTTCTCTGGCTAAGAAGTGCACAAAATTGTAATACAGTGATATTGTTACTCATGCTCTCAAGACCAGCATTAAAAAATGAAAAAAGGACCAGTTGCTTTTCTTATATTCCAAATATTACATAAAAATGCCAGTGTGTAAGGATTCGGAGATTGGTTTTCAGCTGTTGGTGTTTGGTATTTGGCATTCGGCATCTGTAACAAATGGTGGGTGATAACATTTTGCTTGCCAATGCCTTGTTATTGAATGTTCTTGTGATATTTTAGGTGCAGATGCTTTTCTGGACAAAGATCACAATGGGTTTACTCCATTGATGTATCTCACCACAGGTCTCAATCTCTTCACCTGGTTCTGGATTATGTCAATTCCTTTATTACAGGTGAGTGTCATTGTCAGGTGGGAGTCAGATGTACAGTGTATTTTATTTGTCATGTTTTCACTGAGCTACCAGTATCAAGGGTCAGGTTGTGGGAAGTTTAATGTGAATATATTTGTGTTGTACATGAATAGGAACAATGTTAATTTTTGAAAGGTAGATACATAGATACCTTGTTCTATATTTTTGGTCATTAATAGATATGCTGCCTGCAAACCTCATGAACTTATTGACCACACAAATACTTCCTTAGATGCAACTGATATAGATTATAACTAACTTTTTATTATTTCAAGGCTGTGCTGGTCACTGCTGCATGCAATTCCCTTCGCAAACTTGGTCATGAGGTTAGAGCAAGACCTTTTGTCTACCAGGACTCTGATCGTGATGAACTGGATTCATTCTTGATGTATACTTCTACATTGAACATGAGGGTATGTTAAGCAAAAGTTTATCACTAAAATATTTGATTTGGGATAAAATTTACTAAACAGTTTAAAGGCTCAACATTATTTTGATAATCAAACAATGCATTAACTTGCAAAATGTCACCACCTGCCTATGATACAGATGCCGAATGCCAAATGCTGAATACCATCCACAAAAAAAGTTGGAGACTATAACAATATGTCACCACCTTTTTAATTCCAAATTTTCTGTAGAGAGTATCTGTTTTATGTCACAAGCATAGCAGTTAGGAGATATCATATATGGTTACTGTTTTTGTGGTTGACATTTGAAGTCAGTATTGGTGGTCAGCATTATACATCTGTTACAAATTGTTGCACTTTTTGCAACATTTTCAAAAGACTTACCAGTTGGGGACATTTTTAACAGAAACTGACCAATAATAAATACATAGAAATAGTATTTAGATAAAGAAATGGCCATTTATCCCCCCCTCCCACATTCATTCTACTACACATTTTCAATGTAAAATTAAACCAAACTCTCTCATGATATTAATTTGAACTTTTTTCTTGCAGGCAAAAATCTTCAAGATTCCAATGAGATCCAGTTACATCTGTGGTCTGGTGGTGTTGGTCTGCTTTGTCATACTGGTGCTCTTTCAGCTCGGAGTCATTTCCATATGGCTTGTAAAATAACTTTATATCATAAGCAGTATTTTTGACTTTAATGCAGCTAGAGAAACTCAGACTGCATATTACTTTGCATTTCTGTCGATTTGTCATAAGTGTCAATATATTAGTTGACATTCCAAATACTGTATATAGGCGCAACTCGCGGCAACTGTCTTTCATCAAAACTTAGCTCAGTGCTTTGATGCATGTCTCGGGAATGTTCAACACAATTTACTTATGATTGAGGTTGTACAGTGAGTGCAGTAGAAGAATGCAGTATTCCTGATGTTTGTAGAAGCTTCAGAACTTCAAAAGTAATGCTTTTTATTTCATCGGTTTTGTTATTTCATATTTAAGAAGTACTATACTACATTAGTATATGTAGGCCTATAGTAAAGGATGTGTTGTTGCCTCGTACTTTTAAGATTTTTCTCAATTATTTTGTTTATCATATATCAATTGTATATCACTCAAATTTATAGCCACCAGTATTGTACAAATGTCGGGAATATCCCCAAATTAACACAGTTAAATGGATCAGAGGGGGCAGAGATAAAAAGGATTGTGAGAGAAATGTTGGCATAAAGTAACATTTTTCACACTTTATCCCTTATAATTCATTTAACTGTATTATACACTTAGGTTACTCATTGAGGGTGTATTTGGCTCAAAGGTCAGTGATGTACATCTTTCCACCAAGGGCTGGTTCTGTTTTAACAATGTTTGAACCATGGTCAGCACAGCAATGCATACTGTACATAAACTATACACATAGATTGTCCAATTTTGTATTATCTTACTAATTATATACAGTTACAACTTACTACGCATTTTGCATATATGAGGAGATATTTCTGATCTTGGGGACCTTGTAGGGGTTCAGCTGCTTTTAAGAATTGACCAAATAAAAATTGGAAGTCAATAACTTTTACTAAGGGAAAACAAATGAAAAATTATTTTCCTAAAATTTCTATATAACTTTGTGCCCTTTTATAATTTTATTAGGCCTAATGTAGCTTTGACTAAGTCTGTATTTTATTTTACTTATCTTGATGTTCACTAAGTAAAAGTATAAAATAAATGAAAAACAGACTTAGGCAAGGCTAGACCTCATGATTAGATATACCTACTTTGGTAGTTGCTTGCAGTACAGATTTAAAGGAGTACTTATCCCGATATTGTATATTACACTGTGATTTATATTTTATTTATATATACATTTCATGATAATTATATAATGCTTTCCTAATGGCCAAATTATGCTTCATCTTTATGTTTTTTGTAATCACCAAGATAGTCTGTTTTTAGCTTTAACTTTTGTAATAATTTGAATTATCATATTTATGTTTACTTGAATTTTCTATTGTGGATCAAGATTAGGTAGAGCTAGATTCATTTGAAATTTATACAATTAATGGCTATAGAGTGTTTAATAGTTTTCCCATTTTTAGCAATATTTGTTACCAAGGCAGTGAATGATCAGACTTAAAATATTTCTAATATTTGTAACATTTGAAGTTCTAGCTTGATTTTTATGTAACCACCAGAAGTGGTGACATCTTGTCACCTACTTTTTGTGGGCAGTGTTTTGCAGTCAGTGTATGATGGTTGCTGTTTGGTGTCTGTAACAAATGGCAGGTTATGACATTTTGCAAGTTAATGTTTTGTTACTCATACATTGATAACCCACTGATATGTTGTAGAAACTTTCTGATTTTTTGATAATATTATTTAAGACAATATTGGTTACCTTAGAGATGAATAAAGGGACTTAGATAAGTGTTTACTCTCAAATACATGTACTGCAACCAAGTGGTGACATTTTGTCATGTAAATGTCTTTTATGTTTTGACTGTTTAAGCTCCAAATGCATAATAAGTATTTATACATTGTAGTATGAGAATTTCTCAAATGATAGTGGTGCAGTCAGGCCTGTAGCCAGGGGGGGGTTCGGGCGAACCCCCCCCTGGCCAAAATTTCTTTCAAAATCATGCAGTTTTTCACCATTCTGACTATTTTTTGAGTGATTTTTGGCCAAATTTGCCAAAGTGAACCCCCCCTAGATTTTTTTGGAAAAGTAAACCCCCCCCCTTGGAAAATTCTGGCTACGGGCCTGGCAGTAGTTGGTTTGTAGTACCATATTACTTAGAAGTCTGTTAGCTGAGCTTCTGTTACATTTATTTCACATATGTGTATGGTATAGCTTATTATGTCACCACTAAGAAGTGGTGACATATTATTATGGTCTTCCTTTTTCTGTGAAGGAGGTTGGTGATCAGTCTCTGTAACAAATGGTGGTGACATTTTGCATGTTAATGCCTTGTTTATTTTATCATCATTCCAGCCATCAAAACTTTGTTTATTACGTAAGAATGTTATATTATACTGCCAAACCAAAACAATGCCATGGAAATAAATTTTAAAAATACAAAAATGTTATTCATGTATTTTGTATAATTTTTGCTTTTATGCACTCTTTATAAGATGCTTTAACCTACCTGTATACTCTTGAAATTACAAATGTAATTAAACATTACATTGTGACAACAGTTTACTAAAGCCTGCATGTGTTCAATGTTGGTCTCTACGACAACTGTGTTAATAAGGAACATCCTGATTCCTGCGATTTAAATTAACGGTGTTAATTAAACAATATATCTGTACCAGTCCATTTATATCGTATGCCAGACAACTTTGGATCTTTACAGGTTTTATATTATCATGTCTTGTCTAAAATTGCTTCTTTCATTTATATTCAGAGAAATTCATTGTTCCATTCATTACTGCGATGTTATCATTTTCCTGTTATACTAACGATTGAATGATTTATATACACCCTCTATTCCCCACTGGATAGTATGTTGTATAATGTATATGTATATAAAAGCTAAACTAATGATAGATACTCAGTACTGTAAGTGTGAGACTTACATATTTATTATAATGTATTTTTCAGTGAGATTTTCACTGGATTAATACCCCCTTCTCCCTTGCAGAAAAGAAATAGGATATTCTGGATCTGGAAGCCCTGTGAAAAATTATAAATTTTTGTGGAGTTTGTAACATTCTTAGCAATGAATATTCATGAATCCATTGCTGTTACCATGGAAAATGTGATGTCATAGTCAAAGAACAATAAACTTATGAATTCATGAATGCTTACAGAAATATACCCAAGATTAAGATCCCGAGCCCTATTGGCCTATTTGGAATTTTGTAAAATAACACAAACATTGTATAATAATTCCTATTATCTAAGACTTATAGTCATAATTTATTTATAAAAGTGGAACACTTAAAATTGTGTACAATTGGCTGCACGGGCATAATTTACATAATACTTTTGTAATACTTTAATTTTGTGTTTCTTTTAAAGATGCACAGACTACATTATACTTTCACAACCCCACTCTTATATATTTCTGAATGTAAAAAACAGTATCTTCCCCTTATCTTCTTATAGCAATATCAAGGAGGGAGGGGGGGGGGGTAATAGTATAATGCAGCTTGTGTCAATAATAATACTATCAAATATTATACAATACTGACATGATTATACAAAACTAAGTTACTAAGTATGTATCTCTTTGATCAATTTCTTGAAGTAATTACTTAGACCAGAACTTCCCTAGATATAAAATTCTGTATAATGTAAAAAATTCCATGAGTGAAACTCTTTTTGATATTTTCATGTGGACATAATCTTACCCCATAAGGTATAAATAAAAAGTCGTCATTTTATAATTTTGGAAGCAAAAAGTAATAATTCATCGTTGTTGAATTAAATTACTATTTACTACAATGTCATTTCATAGTTGTACAGCCTAAACATTGATCACCTAGGTTACAACAATGTTTTATATTCACAAAAATAATATTGCATACAAAATTCTTTCATTGTTTAACGAAGACATTGCTGTATAATACTAATAGTAGTTTGGAATCTACTATACATGTATAATAATTCCCCCATGTATACAACAAATCATATGATCTTTGAGCATTGTTATGTCATGTTTGGCTATATAATTCATTGTTGAGTCTGCAAGTGATTGACTGTATTGGAATAATGTATTAATATCCTTTATGCCTTTGTGTAAGTCTTTTAAAGACATATAACAATGAACAATAGACTTCTAAGTGGTTGCCCCACTTAATAGGATATCAATAACTCCAGCATGTAAGCAGTTTAAGAGCTGAAGAGTGGCAGTCTATGATGGTCATATGCTATTTTATTTTGCCACAGTCCTTGATAAAAGTGTCAAATGACATGAGTGCTTGAATTGATGTTGTTTTTGGATATCTAGTATAAATCATCCTTATCTAACATGTAATTTCTGAAACAATGTTAGCAAATATAGATTTTTGAAAATTGATTGTTCATTGACTTTATATGCTTATTGCCACCACTAATTTTATTTCACATTAATTCATTCTGTTCTTAATTTTAAAACAATGGTCATGGCAAACTTTTATCAATGGGAAGATATTGTATCCTCAAGTTTTTGCGGAAGTGTTTGTCTCGGTAAGTTCAAATAGTTCAGGTTCGTATTCTCCGCCAGGTGTTTTTGACATAAGGCCGCTATCCCTCGAGCTCCTCCCAGATTGCATACCACTTTTTACATTCCGTTCCTCCCCCCTTTTCTGGTACTCCTTTTGATATTTGCTATTATCATTTATATGATCAAGTCTAGTTTGATCCCTATAAGGATGAAGATCGTACACAAATGACTCCCAATTAACATTCTCAGGTCCAATTTCCTTGATTTTTTCAATTTTGGTTTCGATGAATTTGATGTGATCTTCAGGGCGCTCCAGCATTAGCGCAGCTAAGATGCTCTCAAACATCTGAGGAATCTGTTTCTGAGAAAGATATTTTTTGCAGTCTTCTTTTGTAGAAATTGGTCCCATAGGTACCTGTTGAGTGGCCATGTTGAGTGTTGAACCTGGTACTTTGGCAATAGTGTTTGTTGGAGTTGGTTTGGCTAAATTTCCTCACCTCTCAGTGCTTGTATGCTCTTTAGATTCTTTTCATGTATACCCTGAAAGTAAAATATGAAAATCAATGTGTTGTTTCTCAATGGATTCACATTAAGAGGTCGACAAAGGACTACTACATCCTTTACATAAATTGGATGACAGTCTTATCTCAAGAAGGCACATATCTCAATATACTCTTCTTTTGACAGTGATATATCACAAGGCTGTTGATTATAAGATGTCTATTAACTTGGGTCTAAATCGATAAACAAATAAAAATGTCTAAATATGTTAATTGCACACCTAGTTTACCAAGGAGTAAACCAAGTCGCTGTATACTGCATATACATTATTTGTAGATCAATCTTTCAAAACTAGTTTTCAAAACAAGTCAAGAGAGGGGTGATTAGATAATATTTAGCACTTGAATTGATCATATTTTTTCCTGAAATTTGATAGAGTTTGACCTTTTAATAATTGGAAACTATCATCCCATTCCCACGATATAAGAAACAACTGGTCGATGAACACAAACTCTTTTTTATCAATTCTTAAATTAGTATGAGGTGGCCATTTAGACTCATGTATGAGCTCATTAGTTAGAAATACTTTCATCAAATTTTAAAGATCACTTGCCTTTATCTATTCTAGCTCCAAAGTTCATTCAATGTGGCAGGCTAAGTAATAGCCTTACATGTTACATTGTAAGTAAGCTTACAATAAACTTATGGATTCTAGAAAATCTAGACATATTTCAAACTTATTTTTCGTCTCTAATCAACAATCAAAAAGTAAGATTAATGATTTAAAAGTAACATTAAACAATCGTTTATATAAATACTCACTGTCGAAGTGAAACACGAGTTCTAAGTGTTCTTATTCTCAACATCCATCAACAGGTTGAAGTGACTTTTCTTTCCTTATCACCAGGAGACCAATTAATAAAAACATTCAATTTTGATTCAATTGCCATATTTTCGAATTATACAAAAAATAAATCATTTAATTTCAGATCAAACTGTAGTCAAAAATTATGAAAATGAATAATTGATATTCTTTTGATGAAATTATATATTCTACAAGTTTGTAAAATGAAGAAAACATAATATTGAAAAATTCGATCGAGAGCTTGACCTTGGCTCAAGGTCAAACATGGCCGTCAAAAATTTGAGGCGGAAGTTTTGGTTTTATTGAATTTTTTGAAGTTTTAACACCACTCTCATACAGTTATACATACTATTACAGCTAAATGCATGTCTGGGAATTGTAGGTCGTACTTGATGATTAATATAATAGGATTCTGTAATTGGTAAGTACGGTAGATCTTCTTTTTACATTTCATTTTTCATTGAAAATTTTATGTTTTGATTTTCAGGCCCAGGAACAAAATTTAAATCCCCCCTCCCATTCACTGTATATTGTATAGAACAGAAAGTGGGAGGGGGATGAACTTTTGCTCCCGTCCCTGTGTTTTCCTGAGATCTAATTCGTCGCATCATGACTAAAACAGAAGTCAATAAAGCACAGGGAATCGCATGGAGGGTCGGGCCACAGGGGCTTGTCTCGAGGCGTCGGGCAAGCCCTCTGATGAGTGTGTACTGCTTATTAAGAGAAAAAGGGTGGTCGATTTTGATGCTACCTGAAATTTGTAGAAAATGATTGTTAGATATCCAGTAAAAATATATGAAATCCTTTCAATAATCGACATGCTGATTCAAACAACACTACAGAGTAAACTTACCTAAAATGGTAGCAATCCATCCACTAGTTTCTGAGATGTGTGATGAACATGTAAGGAAGTGATTAAAATGCAAAACACGGCAATTTTCACCCTCAAATTGTTAGCTCCAGAGTCGATTTCTTCCTCAAGACACGTCCACTGTTAAAAATCAGTAGTTCCTAGAGGTCTTTGTTTCCTATGTTTCATTTCTGTATATTTTTTTTAACGAAGGACAGCCTATAACGACTGCTATACGCAAAATAGATGCATGAAATTATATTTCGAAACTGAAAGTTGAAAAATGGCCGAATATCCTGTGTTCTATGCGCATGCGCAAAAAAGAAAGTTCTTCATTCCCACGATTCAGAACGATTCGAATTACTTTTCGGCGGTTGGATCGGTTCCAAATGAAAGATTATTGCCAAGGAACGGAAAACATGTTTCGAAGATGAGAGTTATTTGTTTTTATCACTAAAGGAAAATATTCCCGCAAAATTAGGTGCATCATGGGAAGGGACTGGTGTGAAATAATGAACGCAAGTGACATCTATCTAGAAAAATATGTTGTCATTGCGCATGGGTTCATATAATATGAACTAATCAAATTGCTGGATTGAACACAACTGCGCATGGAACACATTTTCAGTTTCGAAACATAATTTCATGCATCTATTTTGCGTATAGCAGTCGTTATAGGCTGTCCTTCATCAAAAATAATATACGGAAATGAACCTAAGGAAACAAAGAACTCTAGGAACTACCGATTTTTAACAGTGGAAGTGTCTTGAGGAAGAAATCTACTCTGGAGCTAATAATCGTGAGGTGAAAATTGCCGTTATTTTCATTTTAAACACTTCTTTACATATTCTTTAGATTTCTCAGCAACTAGTGGATGGATTGCTACCATTTTGGGTAACTTTACTCTGTAGTGTTGTTTGAATCAGCATGTTGATTGTTGAAAGGATTCCATATATTTTTACTGGATATATCTAACAATCATTAGACATTTTCTACAAATTTCAGGTAGCATCAAAATCGACCACCCTTTTTCTCTTAATAAGCAGTACACACTCATCGGAGGGCTTGCCCGACGCCTCGAGACAAGCCCCTGTGAATAAAGCAAGCCACAACTCAAACGTAAAGCTGAAACGCTACTCAGTCAAACTTTATTTTGTAAGCAATACATTATGATCAATTTAGAATGAGTTTTGCTCAGTGCTATTGTACTTACAGTAAAATTTTAAATGTTTGTATGATGTACAATCATTGGAAAGATCACCCAACCAGATACAATTATAAGTACCAGGATGCCCTCAAGTGATGTGCACAACACCAATATCCATGAAAGGCCAGTAAGGTAACCCCTACCCCTTGAAATCAAACACCCCCCCCCCTCAAGGCGCATGACCCCATTTTTTGAATGGCAACAGGCAGAATGCCTTCACTTAAATAAGTCATAATGTACATGGCCTAACTTTTGTATATTTTAGTTTGTTTTGTAGTTTGGCTATCATACATGTATGTTAGCCAAACTACAAAACAAACAGTTCCAAACATTTATAATTTTACTGTACTTCTTACTCAGGATGGAAGCTGTTCCGCTATAAGTTTCTGTAAAAAGAAGACAATATCTTTTCGAATTATGTTGCAATTGAGTTATTCAAACAAACACAGTTTCTACAATTATGATGCATATGTCTACCTTTATATTCCATTTTTAAAAGACCGTGTCTTTCAAGACTGTATAATACTGGGTGAAACCTCGAATCCTGAGGACCAGTTGTACTCAGATATAGCGGAACGGCTTCTGTCCCATGTTCTTGGCTATCTTCTCCATATGAAAATTTGGAGAGCTCTAAAAGGCCATTTTATGGTCAAAATCATACAAAATGTTGTTATTTCATGTTTCTTTTTGTCTGTCTATCCATACTTTGAGTGTCAAATTGAAAGTATTAAATTGTAGCTTAAGACACATAAAACGCTTGATTATTAAAGAAATGTAAGAATTTTGGTTGAATTAATAAACATTTTCATTTTGGCAGATGTGACCTACAGTGCTGTTTGGAACATTTGTATATCTGCCAGCTACCTCCTGACTGCCCTTATTTATACCATTCCAAAGATGTCAAGTTACTCCGAACTGAAGAACTTTATACAACTGCACTTAGGGGCTGATGAGAAATGTACAGCAATATCCTTTGAATTTATAGAAATGTTGTTTCTTTAATTGGGAGAGAATTGAGATTCAATATTTATTTTCTCGAGGAGTAGATGTGAATGTGCCATATGGGTGCCGAGTGCCGACCTCTTTCTATAACACTAGAACTAAATAATTTCAGAGTATTTTATGGATGAAAAATGGAAGAATCGTGAATTTGTTGCTTATCTTTTTATTTCAGTCACAATTTGCTACATTAAGATTTTAAACAGCTATATACAGTATACATTGATTTCATTAGCAGAAGGCAGAATGAAACAATATCTTGTTTTCATAAAATATGACTCTTGTCTGAGCAGTGTGGTTATTGCTTTCAATGAAAAGATGATCAGCTTCTCTCTAGTTTCGTCACTTCTTTGAAGTTCCATTGCATATGTATGCTTTCGTCTGGTAGAGGTGTTTTCCAAGAATTCTTCCTTGACTCTGTTACTGTATCCAGGGTGAATTGATGCTTGATATCGTAAAAGTAGGACGTGTTCTGGCTATCGTGACAAGAAAGGGAGATCATGGGTAATGATGATTTAGTTTATAGATTTTATTTTAACATATCTATTCCCTAAATGGTAAATGTTAACAGTCCTTCTTTTTTTGAGAATTAGTTGATGTTTTGAATTGCAGTTAAATTACATATTTGTACAATGATAAAGTATAGAGATATCGAAAAATGTGAATGTGAGTCAAGTGATTTTTACTTTTTATATACACTTAAATTAAATATATTGACCTTAAATGAATAAATAGTAATGATATATACTTAGAATCAATGATACAACTGACCAAAATCTACTGTGCTATTTGCCATGACCATTTGAGCTACAAATGCTTCTATTTTATTTATATATTGTTGTTAATTTTGACTCATATTTACAGATTGTTTGTGTATACTACTAAAGAGAGTGTGCCTACTAGCAGTAACAGCCTGCAACTGGAGGTGGCGACACCTATCAATGCAGAATTTAAATACAACATTGGTATGTAGAAAATACTAAGATGATAGATAGTTCATTCATTTATTGGTAATCAAATAACAAAATTTTTTTTGTATTTCTGTGGTATAAGAAGCTTCTGATAATAGACCAGACTTCCTCTTAAATTCTAAAAAAATATGTAAGCTTCCGATCACACTCCAAGGTATCATGTATTTCAAATTTGCCACAAAAAGATACCCTATTAGGAAATATGGGTAATTTAAATTAAAAAATAGACACCGCCTGAGTCACGCTTTCAAACGTCCCCGGTCCATTATCCTTAGCTGAGTATACCAAAGGGAGTTGTAGATAGGTGTTCCTAACAGGTAGTGCTGCACTACACATATCTGTACATGCATTTTTCCTGGTTTCAGACACAGAGGCCAGTACAGCTGAAATCCTGGTGGTTGGGATCAGCAATGATAAAGTAAATCTCAAGTTCCAATTCCCAAAGTCAAGCAGAAGCAATGATTTCTTTACTCAGCTCAAGAAGGCTATAGATGGTACGTTTTTTCTGTTTAAAAATATATTATTACTCACTAAGTCTGTATAGGAAATGAGATAAGAAGAGTTTTTAATGCTGTTTGCTTAGCTTAGTTTTACTTTTTGATGGCCTATGCAGGGTCTACATGAACAGTTAAAATTATGAGTATTAGTAACTATTTTTGTATAATGTCAGGCGTGTCTCCAGGAGTTTCCAAGGGTGGGAAAAACAGTCTCCATCAAAAAGAACTGGACATAGCAGCTTGAAGCCTAGCTAATCCACCTCTTTCATCAGATCGAATAGTCCTTTCCTCCGAGTCTCCTCCTCAGAATCGTGAAAAATTGGCCCAAAAAGGGACTGTGGTCCACCACCCCCCCCCCCTTTCAGCTTCCGATGCCCACGATTGAGGTCATAGAAGTTCAGTGCCAATTAAATCCATTGAAATTTGTTAACTCTGTTTTCTAGTTCATAGCCAGTCTGCGGCATTTGGTCTTCCCCCCAGTTACTCCTGGATAAGTGAACACTACCCTGTCAGTCCGGAGCCCAGTAAACAGTTAGACATGACCAGTAATTGGTTCACTGATGAAGACACAAAGCCTAAAGATGAGGGTATGTACATTATTTTTTTATCATCAATTTGTTTCACTTTACCTTTTTACTATGATTTTTGTGCTCTGCATGTATATTGTTACATGGTGGCACTACATGCCCATTGGAGGGCATTTCAGAGTAAATATCAAAATAAATAGTCAGAGAATATATTCCCATAGTTTTTGTACACTCAAGAGTTATAAATCGTAAAATGCATAATTGAAATAAAAAATGCACTTTGGTGAATTAAATTTTACTGTTCTATCTGTTTTTTTGCTTGAGTATCAATTCAATGTGTATGTGTGTCAAATATCAATTGTATATGGGAAATGTAGAATGTATTTTGTTAGGAATGAAATAGATTTACAAATGTGATAATACATTCTCCATGTCCAACAAACTTCAATAATTTCAATAATCAGAGGATATTATAAATGTCCCATCATGCTTCAATATTACCCATCATGCATTTGCAGTATGGCCCTGGAGTCATATTGCTGAACCCCGAAATGTTGGGGACAAAACCCTAGTAGCCAGTAAGTTAAATCCCTGCAAAATACAATTTTACTTTTGCTTTGTATTAATACATTACACTCATGGTGACTGTAGCTAAAACATCCACATTTTGTACCTTTTACTCAAACCTAGACAAGGAGTCCTGAAAGATATGCTCCGTTAAAATATACCAGGTAAATTAACCCTTTTAATAAACGAGTGTTTTAAGCTAGAATTGAAATAAAACACATACTTCAAAAAGGGTCCTTTTGCCATTATGTTTCAGCTTTAATATATTTCTCTTTGGGAACATTCCAAAATTCTTAAATGGTAAAAAATTGCAGACAAAAAGTAACTGAGCATATCTTTACTTAGCACTCGAACAAAGTTTGAGTAGGGATTTAGGGAACTGGTGACTCATTTTCACACTGGAACACCCTGACAATGACACCGTCAGATACTGTTGTCAGTGTGAGTCTCACATTTCATCTGCCATTCTGTCTGTCTGTCCATCTGTTTGTCTCTACAGGTGATAACTCAAATACCAGTTGACAGATTTAGTTCAGATTTTATAGGCTGATGCATTATGGCCGGGGCAAAGGACTGCTGCTCGAGAAAGAAATTTCCAAAATGGCAGTTCAATTCAAAATGAACACCATTTCCATAAGAATATAATCATTGATAACTCAAATACTGGTTGATGAATTTGATTCAAATTTTGTATGCTGATGCCTAAGGGACATAAGACACTTGCTTAAGAAAAGAGGGGAATACCCATGTACCCCAGGGTTCAGAGAAGACATGGCTATAATGTAAATGTGTATTGAGAAGATTGGTCGAATCGACAGACAAATGACATCATTCACTAAAAGTTTCAAATTTTTTTAAGAATGGTTCGAATAGTATTATGTTTTAATAGCCTGTAATTTCAAGATAAAGAAATATGTAAGAATTATGCTAACATTGATTACAACATCACAACAGCATTTGGAAACTAGCCATTGAAAATTCGGACAAAAGAAGGGGGTAAGCATGAGATGTAATCATGTCTGTCATCTGAACTCTGAGCTACATAGTAAACTACTGATAAGGGTCAAGGGATTTGGTCCAAATTCTGTAGGCTAAAATCTTCTGGTCATAGGACCTCTGCTCGAGAAATAATATAGGTTTTAATGGCCACCATTTTATAACTCAAAAACTCTGAGAAATCTTTAACATTGTGTCATAAAATGCTATTTTTCTATTAACCGCTTAACTTTATTTAATCAATATTAACAATATTTTTCAAAAGTGATAAAACCTCTAAATATATCCCCAACCTTTAACTTACACTATTGATAGATACTAATAGATATTAATACATAGTGGTAGCATAGATAGATATAAATCTTATTTTCTGAAAATGTATAAAATTGAAAAGATCAGCAGATGCGATGAGATGCAGTAGATTTCATTGATGAAAGGCAATTTCACTTATAGTGAAAAGAAGGTATGTATCATAGTTCACCAATAGTGTAAGTTTGCTTGGTTTGTGTTATTTTATTGAAGTATCTGGGATGAAATTTAGAGTTGAGCTACTTTAACTTTGACCAACTGCTACTGTTGCTAATAGATTTCAAATGTGGATGTTTTTATAGTTCCCCTGTATATGTAAGAAAATTGTTGGAAGGATAGTTAGAACTAGATAAAAACTACAGGGTGTCTCTTTACTAATTTATAATACAAAGTGAAATAAAGTAACTTTATGGACATCCTGTATTATGTATTTTTCTTGCTTAGTACTAAACATTTAGGTAACCAGGGATTTCCCTTAGATATGTCATGTGACCAAACCTGTGAGAAATAAATTGTAGTGTAACCAAGTGTTCTCCCCAGGATTTTTTCTCAGTTGGATGTCAATTCTTATTTTCACAATTTAGACCAAATTTGGTCAAAATATACCTTTTTTTAATAATTTATTTCAAGTGGGTGCAAATGGACCAGGTATAAAAATCTCAAGTTGGTGTAGTGGCCTCTTGTTTTAATGTTGGGGAGATCACAATAACCTTTTCTTCTCTCCTACTTTAACAGACGCTCCACATGTAATATGTGTACAGTATTGATCAAATAATAATGAGGATTTAACAATGGGATAATGAATTCTGTATTTTAAATTTTGAATATCAGCTACCTATTAACCTATGATACACTATACAAGGAAAGATTCCAACTGTATGGATGGGAATTTGCTAATGTAAATATTAATTTAACAATTAATTATTTTTAGAAGTTGGTCTCAATCAAACCTTTTTATAGGCAATACTCCTAATTTTCTTCCTCATTATATTAAAGATATACATGTATTGTTTTATTTTCAGCTGAAAACCAATTTTCTGTAGGATTTGAAGATAATTTTTCTGATATGCCAATCAATACATCTAGTGTACCAAGCAACAAAGATAGAATGGCAAGCAACACAACACATACATCAATCAACACAGCTAGAATGTCACTTTCGGGTGGTAAAGTCCACGACTTTGAGAAGTAAGTAGATAATAGTAGCCGGGACATTTTTTTATAAAAACCCAACACAGTTTCACATTTAATGTTTTTTTATCCAATTTCCTGGAAGTCTAATAATAGGACTGATATGAAAAATGGTAATGCTGGGAGTTTCGATTTATACAAATAACCTCCACGTATTATGAGGTTATATAATGGTTCTTTCTGTATATCGTTTTTATACTTGAGTGAGTATATGATATATTCACAAGTGAGCGTAGCGAACGAGTGAATATATTATATTCTCACGAGAGTATAAAATGCACGATATACAGAATGAATTATTATATAATCTTATTATGCCACTCTAAGTTCAATTACAGTTGATTCGAACACAATCATAACAATTAAAAACCATAAAAATATCCCATTGCCAACTCAGTAATGCCGATGTTGATCTCGATCCATTTATGACGTCACTTGATTCCAGGAAATCATGAACATTTTCATGATTTTTTTATTCATTAGTTCCCAGAATGCACTTCTACAGTGGTATACGCTGGGGTGTATACGGAGGAGTTGTATACGATGACGATATACCACTCTCCACTGTATATCGTTGTTATAGACCCATGTTATACAACTGTAATTGGACTTAGAGTGGTATAATACCCATTATTAAGTCCAAGGATAGTTCACTTCCTTCTATGCAGTACCAGCAAAGACTGATGTTGAATGGTGTTTACGTACATATGTTTTCAGGAGTATCGAACATTTAGAAAAAGAGATGACAGATTCCATGGAGCAAAGAATGAAGGACTCTGAAGCAGCCCCACTACCAATGGACAAGTTCATACGCATGTTTATGGCTATGAGGGAAGCAGAATACACTGACATACATAATTTCAAGTGAGTACATATTCATAGGCATATGTACAGGGTGTTCACTTTATCAACACCCTCCCCGAAAAATGCATTGTAGACTCAGTTATAACATGTAATTTAATTGTCAGTCAGTGAATGAGGGAAAAAGTCTGTACCAGAGTCTGTATTTGACGAAATCTACATTACTGAGTGTTCTGTATTTTACAGGGTGTTCTGTGGTACATGGAACACAAATGGTCAGGCAGCTTCTGCAGATCTGAAGCCTTGGCTCTCATATGATGAGGAACCTCCTGATATATATGCTTTAGGGTAAGGTATTTATGTTCACTTATTCTCTCCTATTTGAATTTCACCTCAAATGGGTTCAACTATAATGGCGTCAAAATGTTGACAATTTTGGAAAAATGAAATTAAAATTCCTTGTGATTTAATCCCCCTTTTGCCTGATTTTCAATTATTTAGATTTGTTTTATTATTGAGATCTTGCAGTTTGTATATTCATGGTCATATCAGTAGACTGGTCAAAATGTGAAATCTTGACAGAGGGAAGGATATCAGTATCTACCTGTTATTTTGAAAAAGTGTTCTGTCCTATAAGTAAAGAAAATATTTAAAAAATGATTAATATCACAAATTGTCTACATTATCCAGCATTTGAATGTGAAATTTATTTCAACAAAAATGATCATACTAAATATGGTTCTGGAATTGTAGGTTCCAAGAGCTTGATTTATCCAAGGAGGCGTTTCTGTTTGCTGAGTCACCTAAGGAAGATGAATGGTTTGAACAATGTAGGAAGGCACTGCATCCTTCAGCAACATATAAAAAGGTAAGACACCTAATATGTGCATTCTAATTATGACTCAATTATGTCATCTAAGGAAGATGAATGGTTTGACCAATGTAGGAAGGCACTGCATCCTTCAGCAACATATAAAAAGGTAAGACACCTATTATGTGCATTTTAATTATGACTCTCTAGAAAAATTGTCCTCTGTTAAGATTAGTTATACAATATTTCATCCCTTATATGCCTGGGCATACACATAGTTTATACTTTTTGGTATGATATATGTTTATATATTATTAGTACTATATTATGGTATTGGATTGTGATATGTTCCATATAATTAGTGGTTTATAAGACCGAGGTTGATTGGTTAGGGAATTACTGATCATTTTCTCTTTGGAAGCTTACAAACTATTATAGATAAACTACGCTTAACTCTACATGTACCATCTTTTGTTTCAGTTAAAATTAATACGACTTGTTGGTATGATGTTGATCGTGTTTGTAAAAAAAGATATAATCGACCAGATCAGAAGTGTCAGTGCAGAGACAGTCGGCACAGGCATTATGGGAATGATGGTAAGACACAATTTCCATGTATTTATAGATGGAGCTTATGACGGATTGAATAATGGGAATTGAGAGGATGTCACTGGGGCCACATTAATAACTTTTTTAAACTACAGTAAAGCCTGTGTACCTCTAATAGTGTACCATATGAGAAGTGTTCCACTTACAGAGGTTTATTTTCCATTATTTTGATTGGTAACAGAACTTCAAAAAGTGTTCCAATAATGGAGGTGTTCGAATTAGAGGTGTTCCCTTCATAGGTTTTACGATACATGATTTTATCTTTAAGGGTAATAAAGGTGGCGTTAGTATCAGGCTTGATATCAACAGTACGAGTATTTGTTTCGTGAATTGTCACCTTGCCGCACATACAGAGGAATATGAGAGAAGGAACCAGGACTTTAGGGACATTAATTCTAGGATGTCATTTAGGAATCTTCAGACACCACTTAATATATCTGATCATGAGTAAGTGGAATTCTTTTAAATATGTGGTACATTGGAAATATTTACTCACTGTGGTAGAATGGGATCTGTGATACAATGTACCAGCTTATCTGTCATTTATAAATAATTTAAATTACTACATTCTATTGTGGTCTAAGAAATGTATACTGTCTAATTTAGTGAAACATAATACAAGAGACCACTTCAAGAATCTAGCCTTTAATTCAATTAAAATAAGAATCTCTTCATTTGATTTGGATATTTTCTCAGAACAAATAAAAAAATTAAAATCTTTGTGTTATTATTTTGTTGTTTTTTTATTGTACTGTGTTATTGCTATTTCAGTATAGTATACTGGATAGGTGATCTCAACTATAGGCTCAGTGAACTTGATGTTGACCAAGTGAAGAAATACATTGAACTTACAGACTTTAAGACACTTTTGGAACATGATCAGGTAAACTTGAATGGGATCTAGAAACTTAAAAGCAAATAAACTGACAAACTTATGTTTAATAACAATTGAGCTTGAAATATAGTGTAACACTTTATGAAATATAACTTTCATGAAATTATAGGACTTGTTTCATTTTCAGCTACACCGCCAGCATTTAGCAAAGAAAGTGTTTCTTGGGTACAGGGAGGGAGATATCACATTCCAGCCTACTTACAAGTATGATACGGGAACAGACAATTGGGATACAAGGTAAGTGTCCCAGCCTGTATTTATCACCATACCTTACATAGTTTTATACTAGGGTTGAGCACAAAATTGTTTAATATGGGCTCTTCATTTTTATTTTATAGTACATTAATACAGTCCAACAGTAAAACCTGTATATCTGAACACCTCTCTGATCAGAATACCTCTTAATTGGAATCCGTTTGCCCCATTTTTTATCTGCCATAAACTTCCTTGTTTAAAAGCCTCAAAATGTGAATAATTGAATATGTTTTGGATATAACAGATAAATCTATGTAGCTGCACATTTTGTGACCACATGAACTATGAATTATGAAAACCTACAAGAAATTGTACTTTGGGATGTTTCAGCGAAAAGTGTCGGGCGCCAGCTTGGTGTGACAGGGTGCTATTCAAGGGACGTAACATCAAACAACTGGAGTATAGGAGCCACCCATTGTTACGCATAAGCGACCATAAACCTGTCAGCGCCCTCTTTGAGATGGGGGTATGTAAAGCACATGTACTAAATAGAGTTAAACAATTGGTCTGATTTTGGCCTAACCAAGAAATACAAATACACGGAGAATATAAATATTTTCCAATTTGTTCATTTTGTGAAATAAGTCAAGATGGATTTTTATTATCTTAATCTAATTTCTTTATATAAAACAAAGATGTGATACATAAATGTTATTTTGTATTGACCACTTGTCCATCTATTGGACCATTACTCTGCTCATCCATCCTTCCTTGTACATGTATTTAAAAAGTGGTTTTTGCTCGAAATATTTGAATTTGACATAAAACAGTTTTGAATCTACAATGTGTTTTTGGAATGTTTTGTTGTAGACTAAGGTGACAAATACTAAGAGGGAAAAACAGGTGCTGGAGGATGTACTTAAGAAAAAAGACAAGCTTGAAAATGAATTCTTACCAGCTGCTAAGCTTGATAAACTTGAGGTAGGTTGAATGCAGGTTTATAGAGGATACCTGCTATGCATATACAAAAGCCCTGTTATACTGCCTTTACTGGCACTTTCAAAGGTGAATATAGTGATCTGGGGTTGTTCACTCAGGTGAAACATTTGAAATGATTGAACTGAATGAAATGATCAAAATGCAATTTATCATGTATATGTGGCTTAAAGGTCATATGTTAATCACAGAACAACATAATTTCAGAAAATATTTTGATGAATCCATGTGGGTTATATGATCATTGCCATATCCACTGCTTAAAAGTTAATGGGAAAAAGATGAGTTGCGAAACAATTTGATATTTAAGGTTATTGAACAGAAGAATTGAAAAACAGGTTGTCCTCTTTTCATTTTGATCAATTTTGACATTTCCACTTCATAAATATTCAATAACTTCCATATTTGATCATACCATGTTTTTATTTCAGTTGAAGTTTGAAAATGTTCAGTTTATCCAACCCCAGGAACAGACAATAGAGGTCACTAATGTAGGCCAAGTGCCGCTACAGTTTGAATTCATCAACAAACTTAATGAGTCTCGTCCATGTAAACCATGGCTATCACCTAGACCAACTAAAGGTTTCATAATGCCAAGTAGGTAACATTTGAGTCTGTGCTCATCAATCAGGTTCCCAGCTTGAGAGGCTCCCAAATTTCAACCAGAAATTTTTTTATTCACCTTTCCTTAAAAATATGATCTTTGGAAATTTGATTAAAGGGCAATGTCAGTTTTACATGCAAATTATTTTCACTTACAATTTTCAACTACACTGGTTATCTTTTTATGTCACCACCATAAGTAATTAGTTGGTCTCCAACTTTTTTGTGAAAGGTGCTCAGCAGTCGACGTTTTTAACAAATGACAAGTGGTGACATTTTGCATATTAATGGCTTGTCTTATGGATTTTATTCTCTCTAAGAATACTTCAAAATATGCTCATGAAGACATTTTCTATTAATAATGCACAAACATTTGAAATTAGTATTAATACTTCCATCACATTACCTGTATAATGAGCACTTTCTAAGGTTTACTATTTGTTTTTCAGATGATTCTTTGTCTGTAGAATTTGAGGTGTACATAGACAAAAATACAGCACCAGGTCTCAACACACAACAGGACAAAATAGAAGATATTCTAGTCTTACACTTAGAGGGAGGGAAAGACTTTTTCATATCCTTTATACAACATACGTATGTGCACCTTGATAACCAAGCGTATGATATTATCATATTAGGATAGCAAGAGAAAATTGCCCAATTCACGGGTTACTAGAGTATCCGCGTATATTGAGTATGACCGGTTCTAAGCTTACGAGTGTGACCGTATTTCTGTTCCTATAAACAGACGAGGTGAGTACTTGCTTTTTATGAACACTTTCGAACGTTTTCTTTTTATCCTACTTGGTCAATGAATGATACTTGGTATACGTATAATGCCAGGCATATCACAAGGGGCCTTAATCAAGAGAAAACGTATTAATATTAGATTGAAGCCGTAAAATCCTAGTTTCAAGCATCTTCGATCAGTTTTTGTGTAACACAACGCAACTCCAAAGAGGATGACACATCTTATGTATAATATATAGCTAGACCTACGAATTAGTCATGAATATTTTAAATAATTTAGCCTGCTCTGTCCAAATATGATACATCTTTGAATTTTTGAGAATACGAATGTCACTGGTGCCCCATTATTGGAGAATACGGTTGTGAAACAATCAGTGGGCCGTGTTACACTCGTTTCCATGACATTTCACAAGCGTATCCTCTGGGAAAAGATAAATCCTTCTCTTGCTCACGGGGGATCATATAAACTGAGATTTTGAGATCTTGTTCAGGTTAGCCATAAAAAGGTTTGGGATTTGTTTTTTTCTACTGTGATATTAATGATTTGGCTCTAAGGCGAGAAATCTGTACTTTCTGATTGATATTCCATTATGAACAGTTACATTGCTAAAATAGCTCATGTTTAACATTTTTTATTACATTACTATTAAATACAGCATAAACTATATTCAACAAACACAATTTCAAAAAGGATAATATAGAAGTTAACCTTTATTTTCCATTTTTAAGCAGCTGTGCCTCTCATGACTTTCCAAAACAGGTCATATTCGTAGCCTAAGAACCGGTCATACTCCATATACGTGGAAACTCTAGTAGCCCGTGCAATTATGGTTTTGAAATATTATGTTAAATTGAATTTAATGGATTTAAAATATGTTGTGCAAAGTCTTTTTCACACTCATAGATTCTGGCCAGATTCTTTTGTAGTAGAATCAGTAATCTAGCTCAATTAATACTCCAGGCTAGGTCTAATGTTGAATTATTCTTTGAGCCTATGAGATCCTGCTACAAAACAATCTGGCCAATATCTGTGTTCACACTGCTTAGCCTTCTCTCAATGGATGAGGAATGATACCCTTAGTAAGCTGGGTATCTTGGTACAGTTATTACAACCAATCAGAAATCTCAGTAACATGCCTAAAGTGTATTTCTTCAACTTTTTTATGATAAGACACAAAAGTTTTTTTAATATCATCTCTGGTATGATCAATTCAAGGCAGGTAAATCTTGCGTATGTAAACACCTCTTTAGTCTGAACACCTCTCAATGTGAACGCTTTTCTCCCACCTGATTTTGTATTCTGTCATAGACTTCCATGATAAAAACTTGAAATGTTAATTCAAATACTTTTGGCCAGTCCCTGAGGCATTCGGATAAGACAGATTTTGCTGTTCTGAATCAGGTCAAAGATTGTGAGACAATTTTGGCTATTGAATTACTCCTTTGTATAGTCACAACCAGGCCCATAGCCAGGGGGGTTCGCAGGGTTGGGGCGAACCCCCCCCCCCCTGGCCAAAAATTCTTTCAAAATCATGCAGTTTTTCACCATTTTAAGCACTTCTCAAGTGATTTTAGCCATAGTGCCAAAATTGTCAAATGTGAACCCCCCCTGGAAATTTTTGAAAACTGAACCCCCCCTTGGCAAATCCTGGCTACGGGCCTGGTCACAACAAACATTTTTATGTGCCTTAACTATAGCCACGTGTCAGTTACTGGCAACTATATTCCAAGTACGTTTGGTTCCTCCATTGAAGCCCTAGTCCACATGTATAGCTATATACGAGATGTCTCTACAGCAGAACTAATAGAATTGGTAGGGGTTTTCACTATTGTGTTATGAATAGAATAAAACATTAAAAGTATATAAATTGTGCACCAGTATTTCAAAATCTCTTCTGACCTATCAGGGCCTATTAATTATTCACTCCTTCTAATTATTCACTTCATATTTCAGGAATCATCAAGTAGTGAAGCTTCCACTCCATCTCCACAGAAAGGTGAACCTTTTGACATCCCTAAGGAACTGTGGCGACTTGTTGATCATTTGAACACGTATGGGCTTGAAGAGGTATGGTGTGCATCAGTTATTAACCCTTAAGGGACCGGATTATTTCAAAAAATCAGCATAAAATTCCAATAATAATCATCGCTGTCAAGTTCACTTACAGTGTCACTGTCCGATGATGATGAATCTGAAAATCCTGCACCATCACTGTCCTCTTCGCTATTGCTCGGGATTGTAACTGATCACGTATAATCCCCTTCTTGGGATATGTCTACATGTCTATACATTCATATTTGTTTATGTTTCAATTAAAATACACCTCAAAAACGATAAACAAAGTCAAAATTTCGATCTTATTTTTATTTTTCTGAAAAGTTTTACTACGCATGCGCAAACTACAATGAATGAAAAACAAAATCTGAAAGTATAGGAGGCGTGGTCCCGGGAACACAAAGTTAGAGGTGGGAGATTCAAAAGTCGTAGAAAGTCGTATTTGGTCCCTTAACGGTTAAAGGTCAATTTTCATTTTTGTAAAAAAGTGACTTCTGACACAGGCTTTGCTATATATATAATAATTAGGAGCCCTGAATAATGTTATGTCAACACCAGAAGGGTGTTCAGCGGTTGGTATTTGAAGGTCAGTGCCTGTAACAAATAGCAGTTGGTAAAATTTTGCATATTAATGCCTTGTTGGGACTTTTGTAACCATTTACAATACAATACAATTACCACCACTTTTGTATTTTGTAGGAGAATATATTCCAAATGCCAGGTCTTCATTCTGAGATCCAGCTGATCAGGGACTGTTTAGACACTGGGGTTCCTGAGGCTATACGTATCCTTTAAAATGAAATGTGTGTAGTAAAAAATTCAATGAAATTCAAGTAAAGTGGGGATGGAATGAAGTATACAAGCACCAGGGGGCTGATCTGGAATGTTTTTGAAAATCCCAACTTTGGACCCCTTCTATTGAAAATTGTGAACCATTTTTTAAAAATTGACCCATTTTCTTAAAACAGGTAAACTAAGCCCCATATAAGGTCCAAAATGAAAAAAGCTTGAATTCGCCTGAGAGCTGGGAACCTGTTGGCCGCTTAATTGGGGTATATAGCCATAATCAATCTCTAGTATAGATTCTGCACATGAGTCAAGTATTGCACTATTAGCCCAGTCAAACTAATGAAAAAAATAGCTTAACCCAAAACAAATTGCAATAGAAATCAAATTAGGTTAGTTATTTACATTTATTAACCTTGAGATACATACTAAAAATCTACCAAAATCGAAGTAGTGGAACAATGTTAAAATTTGAATCGAAGATACCCCCTACCCCAGCCCTTCAATTTATGAGTGTAGGACTAAAAAACATATTTCTTAAAGTTGAGGTCTTATTTTTACATAATTTAGCTTGACCACGATTGGATATTGTTTTTCCTAGATAATAATATTTATTTAACAAAGAAAAAGTTCATTTGTCTTCTTTTTAACCCTTACAAACCCAGAAAAATAGAAAAAATCTCTCAAATTTCGCATATACTAATTTGAATATGTGTTTTGATATTAATGGGACCTTCTAGAAAATGTCCTATAATTTATAACGATAGACCAACGTTACACTCATTATTTCTTTGTAATCTTGAAATGATAGGTTCATTGAATTTTGAGAAATAAACTTTTTGATACCGTATGGTAAGGCTACTAGAATAAAGGTCGGAAAATGAAATTTGTACAAATGAGAGGAAAAGGCACAAATAAGGTACCATTGTAAAACTTATGACCCAACCTTTTCAAATTCACTTGTATCTGAGTCTCAAATTTGTTACCAATAATGTCAAATGCCAGTTTCCATAGCAACCATTTGAATATTGTCAATAGATGTAATACATTATCAGGCAAATTCCGCTCATTATTCGTCGACTCAAATTCATATTTGTATCATAATGAAGCAATAAATATGCAATTAGCTCATATGCAAATTAGCTCATTTGCTCATTTATTATGACATCATATGATGTGTATTTTCTCGTACCTAAAAAGGTAGGAAACTGTTGTCTGCTTGGCGGGTGGGTGGTGTTGCATTTTTCTTGAAATCACGATTCCTGGAAAACCACTTAATGGATTCACTTCAAATTTTCACAAATGTTACATGGAAAGAAGTTCTAGAGCTTATTAACTTAACCTTTTGGTGGCCATCTTGCATTCTGGCGGCCATCTTGGAAGTTTTTAGATAAATCTTGCCATCACAATTCCCAAGGAATCCCTCAACATATTTTTTTCAAATTTTTCACATGTTACATGGTAAGAAGTTCTAGAGCTAATAAACTATTCAGAAGCCATCTTGCATTCTGGTCCCCTTTCAGTGGCCATCTTGCATTGTGGCAGCCATTTTGGACGTTTTTGGATTAATTTTGTCATTGGCATTCCTTGAAAACAAAGCAGGCTTCAGGCTGAAAAAAGTAGAGGTCTTGGGTTCAAACCCAGGTCACAGCACTTCTTGTGATTTGTCTTTGACCTATGACTGCTGACCTATAACGGCGATAACTAGAGTGCTGCTAACTCGATAAAAGGCTGGCGCTGGCTAGAATTGTCTATGGTTCTAGCCAGGATAAAGATACCAGTTCTTCAACTCGACAATGGGAAGAACTGCTCTACCTTAGTGACTAATATGTCATGATATGACATCTAAAGAGTCAATAAAAAGATATATATATATATATTAACTTCAAAACTTTACTCATGTTACATGGTAAGATGTTCTGCAGCTGATAAACATTTTGGTTGTCATCTTGCTAATAGGGTAAACAAGCCCACACTGCTATGTATGAGGTACAATATTGTTAACCCTGTGCTTTGTTCTACATTATACTCATATATTTAGACACAATGTTGATTGGTATTGTAAAAGTTACTATTGTCAGGCGGTAAACACGATACAAATATATGTCATATTCCGCAACAAATATGGCATATTCACTTGCGGTGTTTGCCAGATTCACCCGCGGTATATGGCATACACACTAACCAATGAGAACGCGAAATGAAGCCAATCAAATCGATGCTTTCCGTATAACGTTCTCATCTGCTGTATATGGCATATTCGGCAGTTGAGTGTATCGCATATTTACTGTGGAATATGCCATACTCACCTGTGGAATATGCCATATTCTGCAGGTGAGTATGGCATATTCACCCGTATCACAAATGTCGCACAACCATGAATATATGCCATATTCCGCATTACAACTATAAGACCATGACTAGAATATGTAAGCACTAGTGCTAAAGGGTAAGGACCAAAACTTGTTCAGAACAAAGTAAGAAAAAGAAAACATTTAAGTACAGAAGAAGGCCTCAAAAGCTACTTGAATTCACAATTTTGAAAAGCAAAGGTCATATTTTTGCGATTCTGACACTACGCTTTCATAATATTCTTTGAGGTTCGATGTACAGATAGCCGAGAATATGCTAATAGCCGTAGCCTCTTGCCGTCAGAGGGTATTTTAACCTACTTTTGAGATTTGTATGGAAAATAGGTCAAAACAAAAAGTTCTAAATTAATGCAATGTTTGAGGTGTCAAAATACTGGGAAATTTTTGAAATCAGAATTGAAATCTGACTTCGAGTTTAGATTCTTTGATGTTTCGAAATCTCGAAAAGTCGACTTGATGATATCCTCATGTTAAGTCAATGGTGCAAACTTGATCAGCAACCCACTAAGCTACTTAATCAGCTACTTACCCAGCTACCTATATCATATTTATAGTGTATATAATATTAATAAGATTTCATTTTCAAGTCCATAAGGGTTATTGGTCTCAATTCTCCTAGTAATTTAAAAATAAGTGAAACAAATGAAGGCCTACCCCTATTTTTCAATTTGTTTTAAAAAATCATGACTTTATATATATTTATATTATATTTAAGGCATACATAATATATATATGCTTTCATTATAAAGTCCTTAGGGGTTAATGATCTTAATTCTCCCAGTGATTTAAAAATAAGTGAAGCGAATGAATGCCTACCCCTAATTTTTTTAATTTTTTTTTCGAAAGTTATGATTTTTTTTCTCAACAACTAATGGATGCAAAATTCTCTTGCTTTGTATATGTATGTATTACATAATAAGGTAAAACTGGGATTTTTTTATACATGATTTAGTCGCTATTTAGGAATATAATGGCGTTCACATAAAATTACCGTGCGCATTTAATGCAAAATTTCAGATGAATAAGGGTTAAAAATATTCTTATTCACTCTGAATATCAAAGGTAAAGAGATACACAGATTGGGATACCTTATTACAAGCAAGAAATTGTAAAATTACTTTAAAAAAATTGCAGGCATTTGAAAAATAATTTTTTCCTTAGGGGGGTCTGTTTTTCAAGGGGAGGGGGTACCAAAAATGATTTTTTTACATGTTCCACTTAATAGATTTTGGTAGACTTTTAGTATGTCATTTCATATGTTTATATGAATTGGAAAAACAACATTTTATTACTATTGCAATTAGTTTTGGGTCAAATGTTACTTTGACTGGACTATATGGAATTCACTTTGCCATTTGATTTATAAGCAATGATGATGATTTGTGCTTTTTGTATGTAAAAATTAACAAATGCTAGAGCGAAATTACAACCCAGCTAGCTTCCTTAATGCTTTACCAGCTGGCACTATTCACTCTGTGGCTGAAGCTCTTCTCATCTTCATAGAGTCTCTATCCGAACCTGTCATTCCATATGACTCCTATCAGAAGTGTTTAGATGCCAGTCAGAGTTTCATACAGTGTAAACAGGTAAGAGTCGGCCTTATATTTCACTTTGAAGTGTTATATTATTGTTGTCTAATAATGGGGCGTAGCTAGTTTTTCATTCAGGGGGGGTGCGATCACCAAAAAATTTTGGGTTTCAGTCAGGGGGGGTGCGATTGTGGCATAAACAAGCCAAAAAGTAAGATTTATTTTCAATTTTACAAAAATTGATGCAACTTCCTTCAAAATTGAGTTAGAAGCTTCAAATAAAAAGCATTTTATGTCAAGTTATTTTCTTCTATCTCATGGTTCTATCTGTTATGGGGAGGGGATCGCACCCCCCCCCCCCTGTCTGAGCCTATGAATGTTGTCTTCTGGGTCGATGGGTGTCACCACATAAATCGTGTTGTTAAAATTAAGGAAAATTTCCATATCGGTTTAACTTCAAATTTTACACATGCGAGAGCAGACTAGTGTCAAGACCTGATTAGGTTTTCGACATGCTGAGTAAATTACATGGTGGCCATTTTGCTCTTGAAAGTGTGATATTTATCTTGAATTTGTTCTAATTTCAACATGGCATTTGATCCAAATTAATTCAATTTTGACTTGAATTATATACTGTATATCTAACATTTTCATGATAAATCCAAACTAGGTGCTCTATTTTACTCTTTTTCCATATGTGCCATTTCAACATTTTTGAAATTATTTACCCATGGGTTGTTTTTAATGGACTGTTAATCAAAGCTGTCTGATTACAATATGTAGATCACATTACATGATATTAGGCAATACAATGGCTTTCTGCTGATTCATAATTTTCACCCAGTAAGATGAAAGATAAATGATGTTAATATGGGAAGTAATTGAATACATATGTATTTATATAATGGCATAATTATATAAGGTGGTAAAGATGTAGAACATGTATGAATATAATTACTTCATCAACAGTATTGCTTGTGGAGCTTGGGTTTCCATAGCAATAATAAGGTACATCTAATTTAGGACATTTTTGGAAAAATTGCCATGCAATGTTCTTTTCTGGTATTAAATGAAGTATGAGGACATACTCTGCTGTGTGTACATTACATGTATTTCCATATTTTTCAGGAAAGTTTCCTTTCATTCTCTTCTATTAGTAAATCTGGTAAGAGGTTAATACAAAATCAAGGAAATATTGATATTTCAAGAGAAACATTTAAAATGATGTCCTTTCCAAATTCTCCAAATTCTTCAGGTAAAGCAATTTTTTGAAAAATGTCTTGTTAGGTGTACCTTATCAATATGAATATGAAAATGAAAATCATATTCACTAAAAAACAATTATTGAATTTTATTAAAATACTCCATTAGGCTACGTATATATCTCTTAATTTCTCTTTTCTGTTTTTGAGATTTGATAATAATCTATTTTGTCCTCGGAAAATTTGATCTTTTTAATCGTATGTTGTAATAAGTTCAATACACCATTTGTCATGTTTGTTGTAAGCAGTTTTCATTGTCTTGTGTTGTCACGGTAACACTATACTTTGATAGAAATCAGTACAAAATGGAAGTCCTTTCCATGAAACCTATATCTATTACATGATTGGTTAATATAGATCACATGATCCACTCAGCGATTCCTGGTAAATTTCCTTATTTGGAAAAGTATGTAGGAACAATTCAGTTGAATTAAAGAACCATTTGATGTGTTGACTTTCCTGTGATTTGTTATCGTTCTAATCTGAACTTAATACTCTTCAGCCATTTTTTCATGTTTGTCATTTCAATTAAGTGGTATTTCGGTGAAATAGCTGTTGTTGATCTAAAATGTACTTAAGTAGATTTACATGAATATAGTTCAAGTTTGATCAATATTTAATCCTTGTTCTCAAACCAGTAAAACCTGTATATCTGAACACCTCTTTAAAGTCCCCATATAAAGTTTAAACCACTTTGGCTTATATTGTAGTCTTACTCAATGTTATCAAAGTGTGATATGTGAAACTTTTTTTTTTTAATTTCAAAAAGTGGTTGATGAGACTTTTTGTTCCAAAATTTGTGAGTTTATTTAAAACTAACTTTTAGAGGTCACACATATCTTTCAATTAGCCACAACTCATACAAATGCATAGCATTCATCCTCCCATGTTTTTTGTCGAAAAAAATTAAGAAAATCGGTTCATAAATAAGCAAGAAATGAACTTATCAGAGCATGAAAATGGTTCCAAGAAAAATGCATTTCAAGATTTTAGTTCTCATTGAAACCAATGGTACAATGATATCTAAAACATAATATATTCTTCATTTTATCATGGTTAGACAATCAAGATTGGTTCATTATTGAAGTCTAGCATATTTAGAAAAGATTGACATCGAAAAACCTTTTGCTACCTTAGTGACATCACTAATGTTTCAAAAGATTTTTGATATGCTAAAACATTGAAGTGGCCCATTAAATATGGCATTTTATTATTGAAATAGTGTGTCCTTTGTTCAATCTTTGCATTGGTGTTAAAAAGATAATATTTTTTGAAATGCATTAAGAAATATTTGATGATAAAAAAATTTCAACTTTGTTAGAAAAATGGCGGGAAATTTGAATATTTGAGAAAAGAAATGCTTTTATTTCAAAAAAATTTTTTTTTCAAATGACAAATAGTAAATGAATGAGAAAAAAATATTTTCAAACTTTAGACGGGGACTTTAAGTTAAAAAAACTCTCAAAGTGAACACTTTTTTCTTTCCACTTTTATGTGACCACAACTTTTTTATGGATGATGTTTGTTTGATGTTTGGTATTTGGCATTCAGTGTCTGTAACAATTGTCAGGTAGTGACATTTTGCTTGTTTATACTTGTTTATACCTTGTCTTATCTGCAATAGATTTTCCTGTTAAAAACCTTGAAATGTGAACACCTGCCAATCTAAACATATTTGGATGGCCGTGTGGTGTTCAAAAATCTATAGATACAATTTCAGACATTATATTCAAATGAAATAAAAATCATTTCATGAAATATGATTTATTTTGGGTACATTACCATAACTATTATAACTTCCTGAGTGATTTATATGCAAACATGTAGTTTCAAGCATGATCTACATATAAAATTGATAACATATTCATTATGGATTACACAAAATTATCACATAATTGATTACACATTCCATATAAGATTGCACATTTTATTCCATATTTACTGTGATATTCATAGGATATGTCACTCATACAGATGTCATATCCAATCATGGATAAAAATAATATCACTCATAAATCATAGGATATCACTTCAATATTATATTGACCATGCATAGTATTTTTGATAAGACATCATCAAATTGATTACATATACATGTACAGTTCTGTATATATATGCATATGTACACATATACACATTCTAGTATATTAATATTGTTGATTTCATTTTTGATTTTTAAATATCTTAACTTTTTAAAGTGACCTCAATTACCTCATGTATTGTTTTTCTCCAGGTGTTGCAACAAATCCCTATAAGCCATAGAAATGTCTTCAAATATGTCACAGCCTTTCTCAGAAAACTACTGCAGTTTAAAGACAGCAACTTATTAGATGTGAAATTTCTAGGTAAGTTTCTGGATAAATAATAAATTGCAATCTCATTATTTTTTGGTTTGGAATTGTTCTGGATGGCAAATTGCAATCATATAATATAGACTACAGGGCTCCCACCAGGAAATATTTAGGGGGTGCTGCAAACATCTGCAGCATATACTTGCTACCTTGTTTCCAATGTAGCCTGTTTCAACCTGTAGCCTGAATCTCTATTAAGTATAGGTTTATCTTGATGTATGTGAACTAAGCTTCTTTGACTTTTCTATAGAAGTCCTTACTCGCCTTATCATCTCTTAAACACTTAGAAAATAACTCCATTTAAATTTTGCACCTTAATTACCCTAAATTATTTGTAATTATTATGATATCCAATTTACATGTAATCAAAAGACTAGGGGAGGATTTTTTCAAGCTTTCATATTTTCTGTTCAAAGTCTTTTGGTTGTGTAAGTTTCAATTATTATTATAGCTTAAAGATTTCAGGGTTGTTAGGAGCAAAATTACAGCTTTTACCCCTTTGATAATTACAAACTACATACATTTATAACACTTTAATTTTACATGAGGCAATACAGCTCGACTATTAATGGTGAACATTAAAGACATTTTTTCTGATCACTGGGATTAAAATATCAAAATGACTTTAACTACCCATTGCCAGGAAACAGTTTCGGAAGATCATCCATATTGACTCTTTAATTCTCTTGTCTTAGACCACGATGACCTTCTTAATGCAGTTCTTTTCAATTCAATAAGCTTTGGGGACTTAAATTAGTGATTTTCATGTCAATGACTTTTCCTTTATGAAGGTCAACAAGTTTTGTGTCAAATCGTTAATGCCAAGATTTTTATGTCATGATTTTTGGCTCAAATACAAATAAAAGTGTACAACAACATACGATCTTGCGCGTGCAAACTTTAAGTTGACATTGTCATTCCCGGATGCCCAAACATCTCAGGAACACATAGATACTTGATTGTACATCATGGTGCATAGAAATCGTAATTTTACAGAGTGGCTCCACAAAAAAAATATGTAAGGGTAATGACCAAGGAGGATTGGCTCCCAGAGTGCACCACCGATATTCTGTCCCATATATGGGTATGTCGTAATACAAAATTCGAATTCAAACAGCCGCCATTTTGTTCACTTCAACATTTAAATCGTGAATTTTGGTCTTATTTCCAAACGAAAAATTCCAAAACTCACAAGAAACGATCGAGATATTGGTTCGAATCTTTTGAACTGTTTATTTTGAATTTATAGTCGGTTTTAATTTCAGAAAATAACGACATTTCGACGTTTTCATTGTTGGAAAATATCGAGTTTCGATCCTGGGAGCCAATCCTCCTTGGGTAATGACCCCTTTAACTTTTTGACAGCCATCTTGCTTTCTGGGTCAACAGGCCCATATTGCTTTATTTTAGTTATGATAATGTTCACTCTGTGCCCTGTTTTTATAATTAATATGGTGGTCATAGGTGATGTTATAAAAAGTAATTAAGTTTCATAAAATCCATTAAGCATCGCTAAAAGATTTTAGTGTCATTACTACTTATCTTGTTCAAGCATGTTAACCCAGTTTCTGAGCTCTAATTAATTTAGCAATGAACCATATTGATACCATTACCATTTTGAAGCTATTTCTTGTCTGAGTATATGAGGTGAGACGAATGTCCAGCATACGTGCATGGCAGTTGTTTTGTCAAGTCAACGATTCTACCGTAATTGTGTAGATTTGTTAAAAAATAAGTTAAATTGAACATCTCTTATAAGATTTAAAATTATAAAACAGTGCATTTCAAAGTTGGTATTCGTTTCCACACATCTTTTGAATAAAACTCAGAATTCATAATAGGCTCATAGAGAGCAAGGGCTTTCAGGAGAAGCCCATGTAGAAAGTAAATACAAATTCATAATGGTCAATCTTTATACTTCAAAATGCCGTAAAAATGAGTGAATTTTTAAGAAATAAAGTACCCAGAGATGAAGTTAAGATTCTAAATTGTATAGAAATGCCCAAAAATTCGGCACTTCAATCAAATTTTAATGAGAAATTTAAGTTTGATTAAGAATGACTGATGTGACATTTGAAACAAATGGATAGCTAGCTAAGATAATCTATAGCTCCAGAGGGATAAGTATAATACATTGATGTTTAACGGCTCTCGAATTAGAGAGAGATATCAGAGCAAAAACAACGAAAATTATTGGCTCAATTTTCGGTTCAATAAACCAATGTACAGAATCGGATCACTGTTATATTGAATCATAAGGCACAGACCCTTGGGGAAAATATCTCTCTATGTTATGTTGAAATGTAAGGTATGATGGTGTTCCTATTGTAATTTCTATGTTGAAGTCGAGTATGAGGTTAGTACAGAAATCCTGAAGGAGCTTATAGTACAATAAAGTCTAAGAAGTGTATTTCAGAAGGAATAAGAGCTCTGTACTAAAAATCTTTTTTCTGGCTCTTGATTTTGAAGAGGTTGCAATTGTAGTGTGGGCACTTGGACATCTTAAAAATGAATTGACAAAATATGTTATATTGCTATAGCAACGAGCAGAGGACAGGCAATATAGCCGTTTGGAATTAAGAATTTAACAGAGGGGATGTGTAATAAAGCCGTTAAGTCAGATAGAATTTAATTTCTGGAGACGCTTAGTTTGGATTAGAACATACAAAGGAACACATATATTTAGTTTGCTCCTAAGAATATTAAATAAGAGGATAAGAATAAGTGGACATTTTTGCAAGTCTGGCCTTAAATTCAAGGTAGGTTTTCATTCTAGTATACTTGTTGTTATTGGCATTTGTTGCACCTGTATCGACATGTATCACATAGTCTTCGACTATTGAAGTGTCTGAGATAGAAAATCAATTGCAAACCAAGTACTTTGTGTCAAAACAAATGGATGCCAAAAACAGAATGAATTTCTATTACTAAATGCTCCAACGAGTGGGTGTTACACATGCTATATTTGGCTCTAAGATAGATAAATATTTTTTAAAACACTACAGGGTGTCCGGAAAGTAAAGATACAAATGCTCTAATTTCAAGAGATTTACCTGTTATGAGGTGATATTGCTCTAGGATGTAGAATGATATTATAGCAATATACCCTGGAACTGCCATGACTTTTAGTTTTAAAATAAAAAAGTTATGGTTGTTATGGTAACAGGAGTCGAGGGTAAGTGGAGCAACGTCACAACTGTGTTCTACAAATCTCTTTCCTGCTCATGTGATCTTGGCAATCCACCATCTATTCCTATATTATATCAAATTATGTACCACAACAGCATAGGGATTAGTAATGTAACATTATTTGATCATTTCATATTACTACTATCATTGAATATTCAGTATTTTCCCCATTATCTATACATTCTTGGTGCATCTTGACCGGTGATTCAAAGAACTGACGAAACCGCTGCTGTCCATCTCTCAGCTTGCTGATAACATTGGCTTCCAGCTGAGTCTCATTTGTATGTTGAACTTTTTACAAATATTGCTTTCAAATGGTCATTAAGGTAGAAATCTAAAGAGGCTTTATCAGGTGAATATGGGGCATTGTATAGAAAGGTTTAATGTCAAGACACTCCATTGTAAGATTCGTTTTTTGCTTTGTGAAATGGTGCATTGTGGAGATGCAATATTGACTTTCCTACTAATGGCCACTGGCCAGGGACGATTCTTCTAGGCACTTGTATAATATTTCTCTCATTATACTGGTTAGTGACATAACATAGTTCTGATATGTAGCAATGACATCATTATATAAAAGAAAACACTATGGCAGCAATACTACAATGATGAACAAAACAAAACATAGATAGAAAATATAACAAAAACATCGTTTCAAATGGTTGTCTTTTAGCAATTTTTCACATTTTAGCGTTGTTCTGGAACTGCTCCACATACCTCTCACCTCCGTAACCATAACAACCGTAACTTGAACACATTTAGACTACACCTGATGAAAGTTGGTAGATATATTGTAATATTGTTCCTCTACAATCTGTAGCAATTTCATTTCAAAAAATCCAAATTTCTTAAAATAAGAGCATTTGTATCTTTACTTTCCGGACACCCTATATTTACTCTGATCCAGTTTTTATCGTACCTAAAAAGGTATGATATTGTCATCAGCTTGACGGGCGGTGGGTAGATGGGCAGCATCTCACTTTTCTCACTGATTTTCTACAGTTTTCCACCCAAAACATTTGAGGGATTCATCTGAAATTTTCAGTGATGTTTTTATTACTAAAATAGCTGACATTACTATAAGAGGTAGGTCGTAGGATGTTATGTAGTATATTGGGAATCTATAGTGAAGACAAATAATCCAATATTGGGGAAGAAATTGACAGACTTATGCCATATATTTTTCTCATTTACAAAACTGCACGATTTTGATAAGCTTAAATGGATTATTATTATTTCACGATCAAATCAATTGACTTAATGGTACTTCAATTCCTTCTTATAAAAACAATTCATAGATATTCATTCTTTCCGTGCCATCATCCTGTAGTAAAACCATTGTCATTTGTGACTTAATACAAGGGTAGGAAACACCTTTAGTGAATCGGAAATTATATTTATTGAATTAATTGTTAAGCTTGTGATAGCCAATAGAGATGCTGTAGAAAACCAGGAAGTGTTTAAATAATAGCGTATTCCCTTTCAAAGTATACCTGCCTATTGTCTTTTGTTCGTCAGTCTCTAACATTATTAAATCTTGAGGAAAAAGTTTATTGAGCAAAAACAATATTTAGATGAAATAGATGGATTTCCAGTGTGTTGTCTTTTGTTTTTCAACTTCTTGTATTAACATTTTTGAATCTTTGGTATCTTTTGAATATGATTGAGTTTACACCTATTTTTTTAAAACGTCTTAGAGATATGTAGGTATACATGTAAAATGAAAAAAGCAGTTCAGTACTGGTTGAAGGACGGTTCAGTCAATATAGCTATTCCTTTCCCGCTTCTATACTTTGTATTAAAGA